TCTCGGAATCAGACTGGACTTACTCCCCTGATCAGCTACCTACGTCATCACTGTGATTAGAAGGAAAACGCTTCTTTCTAAAAGGAGGAAGTAACTTCAATTTGTATGATGTTAAATTTTTATCCCCCGGTTACAGCCAGGACCTTCTCGGTGTTATACGGTCTGAGTGAGTGACACGCTCCCTGCACACAGCATGATGATTTTTCTAGTCTAGGTCTTCTCTCGGGCTCGCCCTGCCTTGGTCTTGATCTTGGTCTTGACTCGGTCTCGGAGCACTCTGGTCTCGGGTTTGCCTTGGTCTCGGTCAGTGTGGTCTTGACTGTGAGAGTGCACACAGGATACATTTTCTGGCTAAACTTCACCGACTATCAAGGTGCATGAAGAGTGAAAGGCTTGAAGAGGTCAAAAAAAACCTGCAGCAACACTTCAATCAATCAATCATTATTTGTATAGCGCCAGCTCATAACAAGACGCTTTACAAAAGAGCATATGGGATAATATGCAGGCAGGATTTCTCCTTTGTATTCCTCGCGTTCCTGTAGTACGAAGATTAACAAATTAGCGTTTTGCCCGTGGCCTTCATCAAAGTCATCCTCCCATTTCTGAAAAAACTGCCATAACATTTCCCCTCATTAAATAGATTAATACGGATGAAAAGTGCATTTTTTTGATCAAATCTGAAATCTGTTAGAAGTTTTACTCACTCAATAAAAATAGGACATTAAAGGTGTTTGTTTACCCGCCATGTTTCTTTATTTATAAGGTTTTTGTAGATTGGGATGATGACAACACTGACGTTTTATTGAAACCAATACTGCCTCCATCTGATGTATTCTTATACTCTTAAAGATCTCTGCTGCCCTCAAGTGGCTGAAAGAGGAACACTGTTCATTACAGTCTAATAATCGGTGCTTCATCTCACCAGTGCCATTTCTAACATTCACTTAGATATCAATACATGGAGAACTCTATTGTGTCTCTTAAACTGTGCACCGAGCTTTAAAGGGAAGTACTCCCTCTGTTTCTTTTAAACAACAAACATGAAGCTACTCATTGGCAGTACTTTGAGCTGGTGTTTTCCTCAGAGTTTATATCTTTAAATCAAAGATTTTTCTCCCAATAGGGACAGAGGTTAAATTGAATATGACAGTAAGAATCATGTGCTTTATCTCAACCTCATGTGGGGGCTTCCACTTTAATACTAAGAGCTTTTTAGCAGCCTCGTGACCTAAAAGTAGACGTCTTCTCTGCAATTATGAAACACTTATTGCTGAGTCGCCATTCAGGGGGAACATATTTCCAATCCAACTTAATTTAGCCTATAGATCAAGTTCCTGCATGTCATTCCCCACTCCCTGATTTCCAACTCTATCAAAAAGTGCAAAAATGTATCTAAAAAAAAAAATAAGTCAAATACCAAATAGATAAAAAAGCATAAAAAGATAAAAGAAAAAATAACAATAGACAAAGCTAAATAAAATAAAACAAACTAAAAAAAAGGAATAAAACCATAAAAAGGGTCTAGGAACGCCAAAGCATGCAGATAAGCTTTTAGATGAGATTTAAACACGGGCAATGTGGGTGCCATCCTTACCTGGGGGGGGGGGGGCTTTAGGGGCTACAACTAAGAAGGCCCGGTCTCCCCTATATGCTTCAGCCTATAGCGTTAGGTGCAACCAGAAGTGACTGATCAGCAGGCCTCAATGACCGTGATGGGACATACGGCTGTGAAAGGTCAGAGAGGTCAGGAAGGAGCCAGCCCGTTCAAAGCAAACAGCAAGACCTTAAAATGGATCCTGAAATTGACAGGGAGCCAATGAAGGGAAATATAAAAGCCTGTTCCAATAACATCAACACAGGTGATACTCTGCACCAAAATGCATGCAAGTAGGCTCCCTCTTCATTACAATGACAAGGCGTACATGATATCTGAAACGCTGTTTTATTCTGTTTGCATGTTTCTTGGTCAATATCTCGCTCATTCATACAGTTGTGGAGTACAGGAGTTGTGTTTTTCAGTTATTTTTGTATCCTTTGCACAGGCTCCTCACAGCAGATCTGTGGCCGCTCACATGTCTGCTGTTTTTTGTGTTTGTTTTGTTTTTATTAGTGAGCTGTGCAGCTGAATCACCTCTCTGGGATAGCCTAAATAAAGTTGTTTGAATCTTGAATCTTGAGGCATGGTCAATCAAAATACAGCCCCACTAAACATTAAACTACATCCCTGCACACCCTGCATCAGACAATCATTTAAACTGAATATAAACACGGTGCACAAAGCGATAACTGATGGTGAAAGCAGCACTCCATACAGCCACCCTGCATATTCCATTTACTTTACCAGAACATGAAAAGAGCACTAATAGCCACAGAGCATGTTGCAGTCACTTCAACAGAGTGTGTAAAGGTCACTGCACGCAGCCACAGAGTATATTACTGTAAGTTCAGCAGAAAAGGAAAACAGCTCTGCACGTAGACACAGTATGTTATGGAAAGATAAAAATCATATCTGTATGTAGGCCTATAATTAACACGCTGCAAAGGAGACAACAGAGAGAGTCAAACACTTCATTAGAGTCCAGATTTCATCACAATCCAACTCAGGAGAACATCATGTAGTCAGGGTGTCTTTTCCTTCAGAGCATCACATCAGTGGAATTCAAAACTGCAAGAAATTAGAGAGACAACATCCCCTCCTATCATTCATTTAGCCTAAATGTAATGTGAAATAAATGGTCTATTGAGAACCAAATGTCAACAATTATATTTTATTTTTTGTTGTTTTATTTTGAAATACTTGATTAATGCCTGAGGGGAAATCCTGGTTTACACTATGTTATTGAGAGAGATGCTTCTCACACACATCGGCCCGAATCACACACGTACCTGTGGACATTAATTAATGGAGAGATGTCAAAGTGGGGCTGCTACACAGGGAGGTTGGTGGTTCAAAGCCTTGATCACTCTGGAAGTACCCTCACACCTCTCCAGCTACCAGAACATCTTCAGTAATTAAGTCCGCACCAGGACTTGAACCGGTGACCCTCCAGTTCCCAACCCAAGTCCTACAGACTGAACTACTGCTGCCCCCATACTGTATTATACTGTGCCTACCCATTGTAACTTTAACTGTATCATATTTATGTTGGATATTATTTGTTCTTGTTACCTAAATTGTATTGTATAGGCTATATCTGAAGGTTTTTTATATATAGGGTAGTCTAAATATGGGTAAAGTGGGACAAAAAATACTATACATGCTTATCTTTACATGTAGACTAAATACGTCCATAACTAAAAATCCCCCCCAAATAGAGTCTTCAGTGTTTATCCAGCTCTGCATCGGTCTTGAAACTTATCTGCGTTCTAACCTCTCTTAATTTTTCAAAAATATATTTATATTTATTCTAGTTTTACCATGTGTCTGGTCGTGGAGATTATTAGAAACATGCAGATGCTTTTATGTCGGGTAGGTAGAATCAGGAAGCCTACTATATCAGAACCAGTTTGTTAGCCCGCTTCATTGCTGTAACACCTGTTGGTTTGTTGTTCGCCTGACAAACTGAGGGGTGTCCAAAACGGCCGTGTGGGGGTTCCTTATCACCTTAAAGGAGCAAAATGTAACTAAAACACTGAAGAGAGCTGTCTCCCCCCGCCCCCTCCTCTCTAGAGTGGATGCTCACTCAGGTCACCATGTGGTGGACTCTGAAGCTTCAGTGTTTATCCAGCTCTGCATGGGTCTGTAAACCTTTCTGTGTTCTAACCTCTCTCCATTTTTCAAAAGCATCTCCAATATTGATCCTAGTTTGAGCACGTTTCTGCTCGTGGAGCTTATTAGAAACATGCAGAGGCTTTTTAGGTCGGGTACAATCACTTCTATCTGAACCACTTCTCTTGACCCGCTTCCATCGCTGCAACACCTGTTGACCTGATAACTGCTCTCATATCTGACAAACCGAGGGGCGTCCATAATGGGCCGTGTGTGTGTGTGGGGGGGGGGGGGACCGCCTAACTTCTCTGGTCCAAACAAATCCAGAGCATTCAGGAGCAGAATCTAAAGTTAGAAGGAGGACATACTGACTGCTGTATTGTTGTCAGAGAAGCCAGCACTTCAACATAGCATGTTTCCTTAATGTCTGATCATATAGTGAGGTCACTTTATCATCTCAGTCAGTAGATATCTTACTGACTGGTCCTTTAACTGGTGAATCTGCAGGAAACACTGAAAGGTATCCAGTATTCAAAACCACAATAACACACTTAATGAAGTAGTTTCATGTTAGATATTGGATATCTCTTCAAAACTCTTTAACAGACACTGATTGTTGGTTGAGTGTCTGCAGAATAATTAAGCAATCTGAAGCCTTCAAAGACTTTTTATCCACACTGATACATGGATGCACTCATATGCTCCACTTTAAAGACTGACACCTGACATCCTCTGACTCACCTTTCTTGTGAAACACAGCTTGGAGGAACTTGTAGGCTGATTGGTTGCTCTCAGAGATGGTTGGAGCCTGACAGGGAGAGTAGTCAGAGGGGGAGGAGAGGGGGGATGTGGCACCAGGTACTTGATCCTACAAGAAAATATAAAAAAAAAGTTTAATTCACTTTTGATGGAAAACTAAACATTATAAAACTGTCTATCTTGAAGGAAAATGAAACTGGCTTAAACTGTTGTTTGTTGATTTGTATTTACATTTGTGTCCAGGGGAAGGTTGCAGAATGAACACTGGGAGAAGTCAGCACTTCAACACAGCATGTTTCCTTAAAGTCTGATGATGTATTAAGATCATTTGATGATTTAATTCAGTGCATTTGGTCTTTTTAATCTAGTTGCTGTCACGATCATGTTCACCCTCCACTCCAGCAGACGGCGATAATGAATTTATAGCTCAGAGAGAGAGAGAGAGAGAGAGAGAGAGAGCGAGAGACAGAGCGAGAGAGGAGAGAGAGAGAGGGAGACAGAGCGAGAGAGGAGAGAGAGAGAGGAGAGAGAGAGGGGAGAGAGAGAGGGGGGAGGAAGAATGGCGACCGTGCAGTGCCCCAGATGCTCTGCAGAAAGGAAAGGGTTTCGGCGGGAACTTGATTCTTGGCGACACAAACTGATACACTGCGTTGGTACGAACCACGTGCAGCTTCGTGTTTTATTTTATATTGAAAGAATCACCGACGACCGGAGATGAGCCGCCCGGTAACAAGAGAGCGAGAGGGAGAGGGGGGCTAACCGGAGCTATGCTATGCTAGCTAGCTAGTGCTAATATTTACCAGCTGACTCCTTTCTTTGTCCCTCCGAGCTAGCGTGCTAATCCAGGAGCTAGCTCTTTGCAGAATTTGCATGTGATGTGGACGATGTCATGGATTTAACACGAACACACATTTAACGTGTGACTGAGGGGCAGCTGTAACGTCAGCGTGATTTGTTTATTGACGTTTTGGTTTGCTGCGCTAATGCCATGCTAACTAGCTATGCTAACTGTAGCGCTGCTGCTGCTGCTGCTGGTGTTATTTGGGGGAGGGGGCTTGTTGCTACGTTAGGGCAGCTAATGTCAGTGCAACACGAGAAAAGCTTATATATCAACGATCTCGAGTGACTGCTTTCCTCGTAGCGTTTTCTTTTTTCTTGAACAGTGGTGTTTGTTGCTGCATAACACCGGTGTTATGTCGACAATTGCATCCCTGTCGAGAATCGCATGCACCTCGCAGGACAATGCAAAATATATATATATGTAAGACACCGTTTCCACACTGCTGACGTTTTGCACCCACCCTTAAACGATTGTGGTGCCGTTTTCTTTTCTTTTTTTTTTTGCATCCAATATTCTGCTAGCCGCGTCAGAGTCATAACACTGTTAGCATTTCTCCGCGTAACACCGGTGTTATGCCGAAAAAGGCACCCCGGCCGATAATTGAAAGCACCTCGCAGGACAATGCAAAAATATGTCATGACACAATTTATACACTGCTGAATTTGGCATCCACCCTTAAAAAATATGATGCTGACGTGTTTTATTCTGCGAGCTACTTCAGCCTAACACTGTCAACATTTCTCCGCGTAACACCGGTGTTATGACTAGAAATGCGTCCCTGCCAAGAATTGCATGCACCTCGCGGAAGTATTAAAAAACGGTATAAATCTTGTTTCTGAGATGACAAAGTACGTGTAGTTTATACGTGATTAATGTTTAGTGCCCTTCTTATTCTCAAGGCTCGACAGAAGACGCTTTTTTAATTAGCTTTTGTAAATATGACCTGCAAACAATGTTTGACTCTGAAGTGTCTGTAGAGTGAAATTAAGGGTGGATGCATTATTCGGCAATGTAGGATTTGTGCCTGTCATATTTTGCATTGTTAGGCGAGGTGCATGCAATTCTCGGCATAACACCGGCGATATAATGCTGGCTCAACCAAAGATAGGTTGTTTTGTTTATAGCATTTCCTTACAGTGACGTCGATCTAAGAATATATAAACTAAATTGAAGTACTCAATGGACATGCACGAATCATAAACACCATTTAAAAATATATATTTTAGTTGCTTTTTTTTCAAATTTAGACAATGATGGACAGAAAACAATACAATGATACTAAAATTAGAAAGTAGTATGTCTATGTAGGTTCTCAGTTATCCAGGTCATGGAAAATCTAAGCTTAATACAAAGAGCACTGTATTTAGTTGAAGATATGATCAAGATCTTCAACTAAATACAGGATTAAGCTCTGAGAGACAACAGACAAAAAAAAAAGAAGTGCTGCTAGAATAAACACCTAAACTAGAAAATGAGACATTTTGGTTTCTCACCTCAAGGGTGATATGAACGGTACATTCCTGGTGTAAATAATCTCTACAGTGGTACAGTTATAAAGCAGGATTGGTGGTTTAACATATAATCCTAGACCGGGTTGCCTTATGTTGTAAAATATTGTACACTGATTCCTCAGGTGACACGTTGTTTTCTCTCAAGGTGTCCAGATCTCAGAAAGCCACAGTGCTGTCGTAATGCAAACATTTGATTTGAATTTTCCACATCTTAAATGAAGAACATGATATTAAGCGAAATGAGGTCTCGTGTGTCAGCTTTCACTTGTCAGCACGCTATATTTAGGGACGTATCTCGTCAAGTTTCATGTTACAGTCAAACTGGTCGAGCGTGGAATGTGTTGGGCACATATCAGCCCAGCATACGGGTTAATCACACATGCATATCTTTTGATTATCTAAGTGATTGACATGTTGTTTCTGATTTGTCCTGCAGGGTTTGAAAGCATTCTGGAGGGAGTCTATGGACCATTGCTGCTGAGGGATCTTAATTTATTCGATGGTGGGTTTTTCTGTGTTTATTTAAAGTCAGTCCACATCATTCTGGGCTAAGCGTAAATCTATTTCAAAGATGTTAATACTTCAAAATACTGCACAGACATATTACTTTTCTGCTCTAATGTAGGCAAAAGGTGGTTTTATTTTAACATATTTACTGCCTTAAATTGGTGCACTTCAGGTTAGGTATTCATGGCAGCAGGAGGGTTTATGAGGGATTAAGTCAACGCACTCATGTATTTTATATATCACATAAAAGCCAGGTGTTAGCTGTTCTATTGTATGAAACTAGTGGCTGAATGTCAACTCTCACTGAGCGGCTGAATCCTTTACGATGCACGACGCACCAAAGCTCGCGATTTGTCTGCTTTCAGGACCGTGCCCGATTGTCAGGAACGGCCTGAAAGCTCACACTGTATGAGAAAGTTTACTTTGAAAACTCCCACAGGCGGAGTTTAAAGTCAGATCTCTGTGTAGTTCAGTTTTCAAACGAACAGGCAAAAACGCTCTCGCACACACGTTCAGCATCAACAATGATAACAAGCTAACTAGCAGCTAAATTATAACAAATAAGAAGATGCGTCGAATGGCCACGCCTTCTGTTGCCGTGGTGATTTCAGATGCCGTTTGTGCAGGGGGAATCGCCTCATGGCTCTGCGCTCACTGCTAAGTCCCACATACTCCGTGCGACGGGGAGCGCAGCGGTCTGTCCTAGGTGCTGACGGACTGTGGCGCGTACAGAGTGTGGAAGTTGATGGTCACTGTACGAGTGTGTGCAGTCGTACGACCAAAGTTTCAAACATGCAAGGAAATCATCCGACTAGTGGGGAGCAGCTGATTGGGCCGTGTGCCCCACTGTACACTGCATGACTTCCGACGTGCAATCAGGCTTACATTAAACCCGGTGATTTAGAAATTCACTGTATGACTCAAAAATCGGATTTTATCTTTTGGGACCCTTTTTCGGCACTTATCCGTAAAAGATTAACTCCCATAACATGAAATATACCTTTTTTATCACCACTAACATTCCTGATATTCAAAGAGGTCAACATGGTATTTAACTGGAGCAGTCAACCAAAGCGAGCACGAGCAGAACTCCTGTTTCCTGGCCCCTGGATTAGGATCAAACACACAAGACAAAGTCAGACCACTTCAGTGAAAAAATACTGCCGACTACTTTTCTCGTTTATAACTTTTTCAATGCTCTGAATCAAGCTAATTTAAAGTAATAAACCTGTCACAGAAAATAACATCAGCTCCTCACTACTCGAGCTTTCAGCGTCACAGACGACCTTTAGTTTAGTCACAAACAGCTTCCTCAACACAATCTGTTTTCTTAAGACATTCCTAAGTATCATCTGGAGATCAAGTACCGCTAGACATGAAGCTAATCAAGTGTGAGAGAGACCGAGCCGCCATGACATTTTCCCTCTGTAGAGTTTCCTGTTTGGATGACATTTATGTGCATGGTCTTGTCATGTTTTACTGAACAGCTACACTCAAGAAGTGTTCATCAATGGGCAGCTAGTCATGGAAAATAAATCAAATCTTATTAAATATGAATTTTTATGTTAATGACGTGTAGCATAACGATCATCCTTACGAGCGTGATTATTGTGGCAGCTAATTGCTTCTTAACATTGCACATCATCTGCTCCCTCTTTCTGCTCCGTCTCGAGGTCTAATTCACAACAATAGCAATGTCAAAGTCGTATTTACAGACTTATTACGCTGATACTTTCTTTTTAAAATCATACAGAGGTGGACTTGTTTTCCTAATCACTGGGAAGTTTGGGCGTGACATCTCTTATAAGTACTGCAGCGCAGTTACCACAGAGTATCAGCAGATCATAATCTGTTTTTGCTCCACACAGTCGAGATTAGACACTCGACTGTTAGACACTTTTTTTGCATTAAGGCTAATTTGCACAGCGAGACAGTTTTTCCCCAAATGAGTAGTATAACATTAAACACCAGTGCACATAGACACTGTTTTCTGATTAAGGTAGAAAAATATTCAATCAAAGGAGCTTCTGTTTTAACATAAAACGTCCCACCTCAATCGATGCGTTAATGGTGGGGACGTACCAGCTGACTCTTTCTCAGTTTTTAATTTTTTGGATAAAAAGGTCGAGAAATATATACTTGGGTGGCCCGCCCGAGTATCATTTATGTGTGGGGAAACACTGAATCCATAACATTATAGAATTTCTCAGCTGTGTTTAAAAAAAAAAGTTCAGCCCTGTGATTGACTGGCAAACAGTCCAGGGTGTAACCCCGCCTCTCGCACAATGACAGCTGGGATCGGGTTCCAACCCCCCACGACCCTGAACAGGAAAATGCGTATAGATAATGGTTGGACGGATGGATTAAAAAAAAAAAAATTGTCTCTCAGCCTAAAACTGTTGTGATGATGAATTTTGGAAAGCCTTTTGTGATATATATAAAAGTCTGCTTTGTGACCACAGTAGGAGATGGCTGTTCATTTATTCATGTTGTGTCTGTTTTGTGATGTTTATCTTACAGACTGTGAACCTGAAGAGGTGGATGACTGGTCCTCAGATGCAAACTGCTCCCAGTGTTCATTCTGCAACCTTCCCCTGGATAAAAATGTAAATACAAATCAACAAACAACAGTTTCAGCCAGTTTCATTTTCCTTCAAGATAGACAGTTTTATAATGTTTAGTTTTCCATCAAAAGTGAATTAAACTTTTTTTTTTATATTTTCTTGTAGGATCAAGTACCTGGTGCCACATCCCCCCTCTCCTCCCCCTCTGACTACTCTCCCTGTCAGGCTCCAACCATCTCTGAGAGCAACCAATCAGCCTACAAGTTCCTCCAAGCTGTGTTTCACAAGAAAGGTGAGTCAGAGGATGTCAGGTGTCAGTCTTTAAAGTGGAGCATGTGAGTGCATCCACGTATCAGTGTGGATAAAAAGTCTTTGAAGGCTTCAGATTGCTTATTTATTCTGCAGACACTCAACCAACAATCAGTGTCTGTTAAAGAGTTTTGAAGAGATATCCAATATCTAACATGAAACTACTTCATTAAGTGTGTTATTGTGGTTTTGAATACTGGATACCTTTCAGTGTTTCCTGCAGATTCACCAGTTAAAGGACCAGTCAGTAAGATATCTACTGACTGAAATGATAAAGTGACCTTACTCTATAATCAGACATTAAGGAAACATGCTCTGTTGAAGTGCTGGCTTCTCTGACAACAATGCAGCAGCCAGTATGTCCTCCTTCTAACTTTAGATTCTGCTCCTGAATGCTCTGGACACACACACACACACACAGCCGTTTTGGACGCCCCATAGGTTTGTCAGATATGAGAGCAGTTATCAGGTCAACAGGTGTTGCAGCGATGGAAGCGGGTCAAGAGAAGTGGTTCAGATAGAAGTGATTGTACCCGACCTAAAAAGCCTCTGCATGTTTCTAATAAGCTCCACGAGCAGAAACGTGCTCAAACTAGGATCAATATTGGAGATGCTTTTGAAAAATGGAGAGAGGTTAGAACACAGAAAGGTTTACAGACCCATGCAGAGCTGGATAAACACTGAAGCTTCAGTGTCCACCACATGGTGACCTGCATGAGAATCGTCTCTAGAGAGGAGGGGGCGGGGGGAGGGGGCTCTCTTCAGTGTTTTAGTTACGTTTTACTCCTTTAAGGTGATAGCTGGCTCGGAAGCAAAATAAGTACGAAGAGCAATTATTTAGATAAAACTAAACCCCCCCTCTCCCTTTAATTTAGAAAGTACAACTGACTGTAATAGGAAAAGCTGCATCATTTCAATAACAGAATGGGTTACAAAACCATTAGCTTAGCCCGTTGGAGGGCTACACACATATGTATTGAACTGGAGTTACAGCCAGTAACCGAACAAAGACCTATTTTTGAAGACACAGAATTAGGGGTGCATCGATCAAACTTTGGTATCGGACGATATTGGTCCTGCTGACAGACAAATGTGGCATGAAAATGATGTCAGTAGCCAACTTTATTTGTTGTGCCAAATCAATTTATTCTGGCATCTAGTACACCTAACTAATGATTCATAGAAAATGTTTTTTTTATTGGGTATATTAAGTCCCCTGTTGAACAAACTCTGACTTGTTTTCAATGTCAAACATGAGAGAAAATGTCGGCATTGTGGGATTCTTACAACAAAAGAAGTCATGAAACAAACAATCTGCAATCGGCTAAATTGTTCTTTCAAACATCGGTATCATGCCTGATATTCTCAATTGGTGCATCTCTACCCAAAATTCCCACTAATTTAGTCTCTTTTTTTTTGTTCTGTAAAATGAATACTGATATCAGTGGAATCCCCTTTTTTTCTAACTCTGCCTCCTCCATTAGATGTGTCCATCGGCTGTGACCCCAACATCCCTCTGGTTGCCCAGGAGCTAATGAAGAAAATGATACATCAGTTTGCCAAGGAGTACACGTCCAAGTGCCTGCTCCACACTAATACAAATGGTGTTATAACAAGGACCTCATCACCTTTGTCAGAAACCACAGATGCCCCTCTGGACCTCACAGTGAGCCGGACCCTGGAGGAGAAAGAAAGTGAATGTGAACCAGGTAGGGGACACATGAAACAGATTACATTTTCAAACCTTTTCAATTCCTTCAGTTTCTGTAGGTTTTAGTCTATAAGTTCAAAACCTCACCTGTCAAAATGGTATTTTTCTGGTCACAGATGGTGTGCTCGACCTCTCCAAAAGGAACTCTGTCTGCTCAGCAGCTTCATCGTCCGATCACAAGTCCTCAGGGTATGATTTCTTTTTTCATTCTTGGATTGACTATCTGTAAATCTTATTGGTTTCTTGCCTTGTTGCAACACATATGAAGCCCAACCATTGCCAATTGTTTCTTTATAAATACAATACTTTATCTACATGACATCGGCATTTTTGTAAAAGCAGAAAATGTCTGAAAAAAACGATTTTGCATGTTGGGAAGTCGTCAGTTTTTTACCAGCATTGTCTTATTCAAGTCAACTAATGAATGCCTTCATGGCCTGAATGTTACCAATACTCCTTTTGTTTGGCAGTGATGAGGGTCAGTTCATTGTTAAGTCATACGGAAAGCTAGCTTGTGTTTGGTGTTTTGGTTCTGTGGGGTTGACTCTTTTATCTCTTGAGCGGTAACGTCACAGCAATGGCAGCGCATTATAACATTTTGCAAACAGCTCAGGAGTGTACGTTGAGGAGAACATTGCATTACTCACAACAATGATTTTACCTCCCTTCTGTTACTCCAGTTATGATGAGTTTGATTATTCAACCTCCAAGCATGTAGGACTCTCACTAAAGGATATCACAGAACTACAGGAGTTGTGTGTGAGCGCCAAAGTAACCCCCAGCCATTCACAGACTGTCCCACCTGGACGTGAAGAGGCTTTGCAACATACAAAGAATGTGTGCGTGAGAGACACACAGCAGCAGTGTGTGTGAGGGCCCAGAAAAACAGACTGAGAACAGACAGACATGAAACAGAACAGTCGCAGTGATGTTACCAACACAAGGCATAAAGGAGTGGACCCCCTCGCTCTGCACTCTCCCCCTGTCCCCTTTGCCAAATTCAAAACCCTCCATCACCTCCATCCTGACCCTGCTGTTTGGTCCTCCCATCCCTAGGAGGCAGCGCAGGCAGAAAGAAGAGTACATTGAGAGGAGCTTGGAGCTGTCAGAGGGGTTGCTGTCCAAGGCGTTGAAGGACATACGCTCAGGGAGGCTGCTGGAGCAGCGCGCTGCCTTGCTTTATGGAATACCCCTTCACACCCTGAGGCAGGGTCTCAACGGCTGGGCTGAGGGAAAGAGCGGGGCGCTTCATCAAATAGCACCAGGAAGCAAAGATTTCAGGGATGAAGTGACATCGTACAATGTGATGTCGTCCATGCTGGGTGGTGAAGCCCGTCTTGTCCTGCAGAAAGTGGCGGCCTGGGCGGAGCGGGCAGAAATTGGAGGAGCTGTAGAGGAGAACGGAGACTTGAGTTCTCCTTTGTCCTCTGTTAGCTTCTTTCAACCAAGTGGTCTACAGAAAGCCCTCACGCAATCTTTTCCCCAGCTCAGGGACGCCCTCCAGCCACCACCAAGTCCCACTCCCAGTCTGGAGCCGCCCACGCCCTTACGTATTCCTCAGGTCCGCTCCGTGTCTGACCATAAAAGGTCAAACCCAGTTGAGAATTCCAGCGCGGCTGAAAACCTACACCAACGTACCTCATCAACGGAGGGCACTGCCAGTTCAGCGACTGCTCGACCTTCTTCTCTCTTCAAGCTCAGACCTCCTTTCTTACCACATGGCTGTGCGGGCTTTGCCAACCAGTCGCCTCATCGCCTGGGACGACGGTCCTCAATGGATGAATCAGAAGACGGGGCAGGCGGCCGGGATAAAGACAAGCAACCAAGAAAGAAACGTGGGAGATACCGCCAGTACGACCACGACCTTCTAGAAGAGGCCATCACCATGGTGATGGGAGGTCGCATGAGCGTTTCAAAGGCCCAGGGGGTTTATGGGGTGCCCCATAGCACACTGGAATACAAAGTCAAAGAGCGTACTGGGACGCTGAAGAACCCGCCGAAGAAGAAATCTGCCAATTATTTTTCCTCCAACTCGTCTGGTTCTGGTACAACGACCAGTTCCACTAACTCAGGGACTCTTGCCTCAGCTGCTGACTTAAAGAGGTTCTAGACCAAGACTCGCCTCTTGAAACTCCTCAACACTTGAACTCATCACCTCTTACAAGATAGATGTTTCCTGGAGACGCTTGTTCAAACACACAACACATGCCTTTACAAAATATATGGAAATCAATATTCAGGTCTTTTAACTGTGTGTCTGAAATGTGATGGTCATACTATTTTTTAGCTGATTTTCTCGAGTTTGGTCCTGGGCTTCAATCAAGGAGACTGAGAGGTAAAGCGTTTTTTGTTTGAAGAAGCAGTGGTGCTCGTTGCTTAGTGGAGCTTGTGTCCACTGTCTGCTGCTCTCAAACGCCTCATAGTTTCTGTTTTTTTAATCACCAAAGCTTAAAGATCTTCAAGGATACAGCTTGCATTCTATAATCTGTTTACTCTTATCAAAAAAATACCGTTAAAATACCACGACTACAAGTAGATTTTCATCCTACTGACATGTAATGTTTGTGGGGGCCAAAGCCTGACAAACTGAAATTCTCAGTGATTGTTTTTTTTTTTTTTTTTTTTTTTTTTTAACAAAAGCATCTGGACTGCACAAAATCTTTTAAAGATGTGCGTCTATATATTTGATTGAGTTAGTTAGCTACTTTTTAATCACTCCTATTAGCCCCATTAGTGTCCCAGTTGTAAAGTACATTTTTATTTTTATGAACGGTACATTTCCGAAGATCTTTACACTTGTACATAAGTTATAAGTCAGTAGCTGAAGAGACAATTCTTTAAAGGCTTTATATGCGACAACTTTCGCTGCATTGTTGTGTTAGCATCCAAATCTAGCGATCTTTATTACGCTCGTATCTTCACACTGCATGTAAATTTACCTGAAATGAGCGTGATCTAGAAACACAGTTAAGCAGTGAGTACAGTATGTTATTCTTCTTTTCTCTAGTCCCTCAATTAAACAACTTTTATACACGAGGGGAGGAGTCAGCCGGCCGTCCCGGTGATGTAAACAAACTGAAGATAGGACTCTGAAAACTCTGAAAACATCACAGACAGTGGGACTCGGGTGTTACACCCATTGTAGACAGTCATGACTCAGAGTTATTTTCAGAGGATATACTTGATTTATATTTATTTTCAGAGGATATACATGATTTCTATTAATCTAAGTGTGAAAAATCACATATAAAGCCTTTAATGAGGAAGTCCTTTTGTTCTGATTTGGTAATCAGAGGTTAAAATAACACCAGCATTATCCTTAAAGACCTTCAGGAAGTCATTTGTTTTAATGTTTATATTTTCATTTTCAAGGACAAAAAAAAATGACATTGATTGTTACACACCAGGGAACCCAGGATCAAGTGCGAGGAAAAAACAGTTGTGGACCTCTTAGAGCTAAGGAGGAAAAAAAAAAAGTGTGACTCTCATGTTTGCCAGCTGTTTGATTATTAGGTTATTCAGGTTTGACTTAATTCTTAACGCTCCTTGTTGATGGAGCATTGATGATTGTCATTTTGCAGCTTTCGATCTCTGTCTCTGGGTATTTTACCCTGAAGTGACTTACAGCCATTAGAACAGATTAAAAACTCTTAGCTTTGAGTATACACCTCTTTAAACAGGTAGATTGTACAGTGTGAACTGCTGTGGTGGCTTCAGCTTCATGATCCTTTTGTTGAAGAGATTAGTTTGACAAAGCCATTTTGTGTCGACACAGTTTTCCTTTTATTTGTGCAAAGCTAGTCTTACTGTTTTTCAAGTGTCGTTGGAATGCAACTTTTCAGCATGTTTAAAAAAAAAAAAAAAATGCACACTGATAAGCTTGGGAAGTGTATGTCTTGTGTACGTGTAGTGTTTGTGACAGATGTTCTTTTTAATGATCAGATATTTACATATATTGCTACTGTAGCTGTATTACTGTAAACCTCATTACATGACTGCTGCTTTAAACTTTACTCAGCTGTTTGTTCGGCACAAAGACGTGGACCAACAACAAAGAAGCTTATCTCTAGAAACATTAATCAACGATGAAGGTTAAATATGATGATGGTTGATTGTGTTGATCACTGAAGGTTAGTAGTAGTCGTAGTTTTTAAGTTCCAAGTTTGACAGAGTGATACTGACTCAGTTCAGTACACAGCTCATCAGCTTCTTCATTTGTGTGTGGTGAAATGCTAAATGTTGCTTCTGCACTCACGAGCCTCTCTCCATAAACAGTGCTACTACCAAAGCAGCCGTTCAGGGTAACCCACGCAAAGCTACTTCTGTTTGTTTTGCTGTGATATCAGCCTGCTTGTCTCTCTTCTTCTAACCTCATTGCCACATATATACCTCTGAACTTTTAAATGCCTAAAGCCAAGCGTCATGGGTTCATCTCCTCAGTTTCATGATACTGAATCTGCTGGGATGTGAGCTCTTCTACTAGCTTGGGATTGTCTCTCAAGGAACATCATTTGATGCCTGGTTCAGATTATGATATTTTTTAATGGTCACTGTGTCAGTTTTAAGATTCATTAATGCATGCTGTGACTTGACGAGGCACCACGTTGGACCAAAAATGTTGGTTCCCAAGCAAATCACAGCTTGTCATATTTCACGACCTGCGGAAGTGTCACGTACAGACCTCCCATGGGGGAAAAAAAGAATGTAAACAAACAATGGCATCAAAAGCGATATACATGAATCATACAGACGGTCTTGCATGCGGAAATGCCTTAAAAAAGGAAGAAATCATCACTGTGCACCATCAGCATTGTTCCTCTTTTGCTGCATGTTTACAGTCGTGAATGGAAGTTGTTTTTGGCTCCTCATGGTGCATCATACATCGTGGAATTCATTTTGATAGGCAGAAAAAGTTTCAGAAACTAGTGTTGTAGTACTGGACCAATATTGGTCTCGAGACAACTTTTTGAAGGTCTCATCTCGGAATCGAAAGCATTTTCACTCGGTCTTGTCTGGGCGGACTCTGGATTTTAAATCAAGGCCAGTCAAGACCACCACTGATGGGCTATTTTCCCACATCATTACTGTGAGTAGAAGGAAAACGCCTCTTTCTAAAAGAACGAATAACTTCTATTCATTTATAATTCGATTTTTATCCCCCGGTTACGACCGCAACCTTCCCCACAAGATGATGATTTTTCATCGATATTCATGGTCTCTGTGTTGTCTCGGTCTCGCCTTGCCTTGGTCTTGGCCTTGACTCGGCCTTGATCCCTAAATGTCTCGGTCTCCGGGTCCCGGGTGTGTCTTGGTTGGTTAGTGTGGTCTTGACTACAACACTATCAGAAACAGTCGCCAGTGTTTCTGCGGGGACGTTATGAAATTTTCCCACATTTTCTTTTTTTCTTCTCACTTGCTAAATCTGTCCGGTCACCATGGGGCTGACTTCATGTTGTCTGAATCCAACATACATGTAAATATATATTGCTATCAACAACACCTCACTCTCTTCTGTTCATTTTAAAAGCCACCCAGTTAAGTGGAGAAGGAAATATTTTTTTAAATTTTACCAGTGGCATTTACAGGAGATCTGCCATGTTCTTAGCCAGCACAAAGGAAGAGTGTATTCCTAGTGCAAGTACTTGTCCTTGTTGTATTTTTGTGTGTGTGTGTGTTATTTGTAGTTCAAAGCCTAATTGTGAAGCTATTTAATTTTTTTTCAAAGCTTTTTGATCCGATTGTTCGGGACTTTAACCTTTTTAACTTTTACAGTTGTACAAACACTGATGTCTCCTCTGCTGAATGTCTTTGCTCATAACAGTGCATGTTGCCTGTGTCTGGGGCTGCAGCATAATGCAGCCTGAGCTCTACTCTGGGAATAATCTGCTATTTATATCAAAGGACCAGTTTGAAAAACAAGCCTGAACACCTCTTAAGAAATACAAAAAGATACTTCATTGATTGTGTACGTTTTTATTGCAGTATATTGTGGGAACACACACAGGCTTGTTTTCAAATTGTGATTTAAGTTTTGTTTGTGTTTTTAGACTGAACTGAACTGCTGGCAAGCAACTTTAACAGAAATCTGCTATTTATGCATAAATCAATGATTGCACTATGATTTAAAAAAGCATTCTTGTAGAAAAATTGTTTTTGTTTTTGCTGCATACTTACTTATTTATTGATTGTTCTTTAGAACTGTGATTTTACTGGTTTGATGTTGTTTTGTAATCGAGCACTTTGATGCAATGTAAAATGTGTATCAGTTAACTGCATGTACACTTTTAAATGTTAGCCCATATAATTTAATCCTGAGATGACACCCCTGACTATTGTAGTTGTGTAGTGCTTATGTTAAGATAAAATAATTGATTTAAAATTTTAAAAAAAGAAATTAAGGTTGTATAAAATTCAACTGCAACATTACATGATGAATCAATGTTCTACTGCATTTGGTCCATCTGAAACCTGACAAAGTCTCAACAAATACACTTAAATTGATGGAAATGCTCTCCATTATCAAACACTTTAGCTATTTTAAAATTCTTAAAGGTCACATATTGTGCAAAATACACTTTACCATGTTTTTCTAACACTAATATGTGTCTCTAGTCTGTCTACAAACCCCCCAAAGATGAGAGAAGTCCATTGTCTCCGTCTTTTGCCTGCACCACTTTTCAGAAAATGTGCTGAAACAGGCAGTTTGGCGATTTTCCCTTTGTGACATCACGAAGGGCAGTAACTCCTCCCCCAGTTGGGTGACACTCCCACAGCTAGATGTTTGTTCTGCCCTCTGAGTCTGCCTTCTCACCGTAAACAATAGGACATGGTGCAAGAAAGCCAGAGTACACCCAATTCCTTCCAGAGAGGGGGCGTGGTCAGACACAGCTCATTTACATTTAAAGGTACAGACACAGAAACAGCCTGTTCTGAGCAGGGCTGAAATAGAGGGGTTTATAGGTGTGATCAAATAAGGAAGTATAATATGTGACCTTTAACATCAATACCTTCATTTTATTGTTTAAGAAATCACTATCTGGACCTGCTGTAACAATTTTTGAGTTGATTTGAACATTAACAGGATTTTTTGAGATGTTCTTAGTGAAAGTGTTGGTTAAAAAAGATTTTGGTTAAGGCGTTTTAACAATCTACCTTCTGCTTCAAGCAGAATGTTATCATTTGCCTTTTGCAAAACATCAATAAAACAGTTCTCTAATCAATTTTCTGTCCTTTTTAAAAAAAAAAAAAAAAAGTACAACAGCCTTTAGTGTCTAGTCTCTTAAGGATGTACTTGGATGTTTGTTTCTCTTTGTTGTTGTTTGTTAGTGTTGCTTCATCCAAAGAAATTGAACTTGTTTATTCTGGTTTTATTATATCTGGGCTTATGGTGCGTTCCATTTTATCTCAGAAGTTGGAATTCCGAGGTGGGAATTCGGGGAACCTTCGGTAGCCCGTGTTAAAATCCAACATGGCTCATCAGCAACCTTTAAGCTGTAACTATTGAGTAACCCAGTCCTCTTTTTGTGTAATTAAATTAATTACACCGAAAGTATCAAGCAAGTTCTGTGGACATGTGTTATTTTCGCACAGAAACTAGCACGGCGTGTGCTGTCATCATCAGGTTTTACAGTTCTCCTGGGGCGTCCATGTTGCTTGTAAGACTTGTTGTCGACTCACAATCGTAACACCCTTAACTCGGGTGTGAAGTCATTCCCAGTTCTGAGTTAAATGGAACGCACCATTACAATACCTCACCAAGGTAATCGTGGCAAGAAAGTGATAAGCAACTTGCTCTCTCTTATCCAGGACAGAGAACTTAACATAAAACAAAACAAAAACCCATCCAAGTGTGCATGTTTAAGTCATAGTGAAAATAGGTGGTGAATGAAAAAATTACCACCATATAAGTTTATAACAGTTTGTGTTAAAGCTTCAAAATCAGTTTTTTGTTCTTTCTTTGAAACTGGGCTTATTTATGAGTAAAATTTAAAATCATTTTATTTTTTCCTCTAGCTCCCTGCCGCCGTCACTCTCAGAAGAAATTGGAGATAAGGGAGGACGAGGGCCTAAGTGTCTTCGGAGCTCAGTATTGGATGCCGTTCTTGGAACACTCTGCCCATCACACAGTTCCTTGCTCTACCAGATACTAAAGCTGGCACACCAAGAAAACTTACTGCTTGTTAATCACAGACCTGTAGGTCTAACTCAGTCTATCTGCTGTCACTGTGGGGTAAACCCACTGGATAATGTCAACCCTAATGCAGTCCATCTAAGTGAATGCAAATCCCACAGCAGCAGCAGCTTGTACTCCCCTTCAATTAATTGTGAACATCAAGGTCTTGGCAGCACAATGTGTCATTCAGGAGACTCCATGTCTAGTTGTAACATCAGCCACTACTCTTTAGCAGGCTGTAAAAATCGAGCCTCTCTGTGCTCAAGCTGTTCCTGTGTGCAGAGTTGCAAGATGGAAACTTGCACTGTTCTATGCCCAAAGAGGCTGCACAGCACTTCCTGCCACAGCCTGGCTGTAGGTCATATCAGTAACAAAATGTGTTCATTTGCATCCTCTCCTTCTTTGTCAAATTCTTCACTGTGCGCTTCTGCATCGATCTGCTGTAATCAACACAACGACTGTTGTCCCTGTTATTCAAACCATGCCTGTGTGACGCAGGACAGGAACACAATAGAAGTAGGAGAGGGGGATCCACCTTGTCCTGTTTTAAAGAGAGAGCAGAGCCCCTCTCCGCCCCCTTTATCCCCTATTCCTTCAGACATCGATAAAAAAACTGATGAAAGGCCACCCTCTCTCCTTCACCATAAACAAGAAGCGGAAGCTGACCTAATGCTTGAAGATGGTGTTGTGAACGCAAGTAATCATAAAGCAGGTGTTGATACAGCAACAGAAGAGGACCAAGAGTGCTGGTCCCCAAGAAGTGGTCTTGATGAGCAGAACCCAAGTGGGAATCTACTGCAAGATGTTGTGAACCGCTTTAGTGAAAAACTAGAGACAATCAAACCGATAGAAAAGGACCGACCTTTGGTTTCCACTGCTGTTAATGTCACTGAAATGGAGCAGTCCAAGTCCCCCATAACCAGTCCGAACATGCAGTTTCATGCTGACGCTCATCTGACTGAAATCATCACAACAGTTCTTCACACAGGCAGAGCTAGTGACTACAATCTCAGTGAGCTATTCAATCGCCATGATAGCAAAGAACCAAAGTCACCTAATACCCGCTCCCGTCGTCGCCAAGAAGTCCTTGCTGCTATTGCAACACCAACTGATGATGCTTCAACCAGAAGGCAAACATTACAAATCAAACGAGACCTAGCCAAGCTTGACCAGTCCTACAGTAGGAAAAAGGTGCCACTAGCAAAGAGGCCAAAATTGAAGGATGAAAGTGTTGCTGTTACAACATTACAGACTTCAGATTCAAACCTTGTTAAAAAGGAGTCTAAAAAAGAAACTGAAAATGGAGAACCTCTCGAGGATCATAGATTTGAGAAGGGACCACTGAACTTTTTAATGGCAGAAAGTGACAGGGATAAAGTAAAAGAGGAGATACAAACAGTAATTGTAAAAGAAGTTAAGATCTTTAAAGCAGAGGAGAAAGTAAGGGAAATATCTGCTGTGGAAAACGATTGTACCTCCTCTGGCACTCCAATACTTGCCCCTGAGCTCAAGAGGAAATACTGCGATCAACGATCAAAGGTTGAAGGTGTGCAAACAAAGGCAATGCCAGTGACTCCAACCTCAGTTAAACAGCGTGGCAGGCCTTGTAAAAAGTTTCGCGCGATAAGCAGTGCTGGAAGGGAAAGGAAGCACAAAGAACCATCAGATCAACATTCCTACAGTGAAAAAAGCTTGTGTAATGGTCAAGATTTCCATAGTCCTATTGGAGAGAGACAGATGTGTCAATCGCATAACTCTAAGGACTCGAGAAGGTCCAAAAGACAAATTGTACCTCCGCAGCGGTTCTCCTCCTATGTCACAGAGCCCAGGAAAATGTTCTTCGTTGCATGTTTCTCTGAAAGCATCTTTAACCTGAAAACAAGAGAAAATGAAGATTTGACAACAAGCCCCATGGATGATCAAGATTCTAAGAACATAGAGTTAGAAGCAAGAGATGAAGCCTCTCAGTCCTCACCTGATCACTCAGTGAAACAATGTGACCACTCTGACAATAATTTAAATTGTCTTTCAACAAACCCGGTGTTACCCCAAACTGCTGAACAAGATGCATCTCCCACAGAAAACTGCTCAAAGAATCCTAAAGATGGCGAAGATGTTGCTGCCAAACCTTTTGGAAGGCTAAGATCATCTCCAAAGAAACAACAGGACTCGAAGGCAGTTTTAAGAACTCCCGAAACCCCGTCTAGTTCCACCATTAAACCTGCTAGGTGTGTTAAGAGCCTTATAAACTCCCAAGCCCAATACACAAGTCCAATAAAGCTCATGTTTGTATCGCCAATGAATGATGAGGAAGGAGTTAGATATAGTCTCAAATCAGCAGGCTCTAGTTCTGGTGGACCAGTAGAGGAACCCTTTGACCCATGTGAAGAATCTTCATGGTCAGGGGTAGCTCAGAAACACAAGAGCCAGAGCGCTGAGTCTGGTACGTCGAGAGGAAAATATATTTCTTCACCACTGAAATCTGCTACCTCATCTGCAAGATCTGCTTCTTCACCCAAGTCAGCCCGCTCGCCACCCAAATCTGCCACTCCATCACCCAAGTCAGCCCGCTCAGCACCTAAATCAGCCACTCCACCACCCAAGTCAGCCACTCCACCACCCAAGTCAGCTACTCCAATGCCCAAGTCAGCCCGTTCACCACCCAAATCACCCACTTCACCTCCCAAGTCAGCCCGTTCACCACCCAAATCAGCCACGTCGTCACCCAAGTCAGCCCGTTCACCACCCAAATCAGCCACGTCGTCACCCAAGTCAGCCCGTTCACCACCCAAATCAGCTACTTCTTCACCCAAGTCAGCTTCTTCATCACCTAAATTAGGTTTTAGAAGATCAGGCGAAGGAACTCCAACTAAGCGTCTTGCTTGTAGTGAGGGCCAAAGATCCCCAGGTGACTTACTATCTTACCATGAAACTACACCTATAAAAAGGCGCCCTGGGCGGCCAAAGAAGTTAGGACCCCAGATTGAGCAAAGAGTGAAGAGGCCGATTGGTCGGCCACGCAAGCACAAAGCTGAAAATTCAGCAACTGGGTCTAAAATGGAAAGTGGTACATCTGATACGTCACCTGAAACTGAAGAGAATGCAAACAAGAACTTAAAAATCACAGTGGTGTATGGACGGTCAAGGAGAAACAAGAGGACAGTCTCTGAGGGATTTGACCAGTTGCAAACAGAATTACATGATGCTTGGCAAGAAGCGGATATTAAAAGTGATTTGATTTTAATGCACAACTGTAAGACGAGCTCTGGGGGTATCAAGACAGCCTCAGCAGATTTGCCAGAGGAACTAAACTTCGTGAGCCCTGTGAAACAGTGTGCGCCCCAGTCCAGCAGTAAAGTCAAATGTCAGAAGCGGGATGATTCTGCAACATCAAGGAAACCCGGTAGACCAGCAAAAGTAAAAATATCTGGAATTTCAGTCACGGTAACTACAGTGTCACCTCGGCAACGTAAAATTCAGATCAACAAGGATACCAGACAGTCTCCTGAAGTGCGTATTCGTGAAAAAGTACGTAGGCCTGAAATCAATTGTTCCAAAGAGCCCTGGACAATCAATTGTCAATCAGCAAGCAAAATGAGTCATACAGAGGGAGCGATAGATACAAAAAACGAAAGTAAAGACAAACTGCCAATCAAGTCCGTAGCAGTTCGTCAATCCATGAGGGTGAGAAAGCCCTCGATCCACTTTCTGCATGCAGTTGCCACTTCGACTGCTAGATCATACAGCCACAGTAATGCTCTGCTACGGCGCTCTAAACAATTCCTGCTAAACAGGGCTAGCAATGAACGGAGACAGGGTGAGCAACAGAGCAGTGCACAAACTTCAGGGGAGAGAAGAAAGCGCTTTGGACAGGGAAGGAATGGCATCTCTAAGGACCTAGGCAGAGTGGCAGCCCTATCTGTGGACTCCATCTTCTCCCCAAAAGAGACGTTAAGGTGGTGGGCTTCATCAGCCGAGGAACAGACAACCAATCATGAGCTTGCCAGGCGGATACGACTCGTCTCTGACACCTGGGTTTCAGACACTGGTGAGAATCAAGGAAAAGACATGGCGTTGAGTTCTAAAATAGCCACAAAAAGCAATAGTTCTTCGACCAGAAAGTCCAAACATTCCTCTGTGGTCCGTACACTCTTCGACTGTCCTCCCGACGAACCCAGTTCTTGTAGCATGCAGCAGCTCTGCTCCTGGTTCATGCAGACCACAGAGACGCAGTCTTTGGCTATTGTTAAAAAGGCAAGCTCCCGCAATCCTTATGAAGTCATGCATTTCCCTCGTACTTCCAACAAAACGAGCATTTGCCACAGTCCCCAGGCAGAGCGGCTCCGCAAACATGTCAAGAAATTTGCCAAAATCGTGCCAAAAAGTCCTCTGCAGCATCAGCGGGCTCAAAGAAGGTTAAAGAGGAGAAATAAGACCCACCCTTCAACACAAAGTTGTAGGCGAAGTCTTTTCAGTCCCAGGTTGGCAAAAGGAAGGTCCAATCAAGGAGCCCAATGGAGGAGCAGTAGAGCATTTGGAAAGTATCAGGCAACTCTTTCTAGAGCAAGAACAAGGTTCCTATCCAGGAAAAAAAGAGAGGAGTGGCAAGAGAGGCAGAGGAATGGAAAAAACCCAAAAGGTGCTACCATTGGTCCAAATGGACACATAGTGTCTGGAATGCAACCAGAAAGTTATCCATCAAGCAGATCAGCTCAAAATCAATTATTTGACTGTTTAGAGGAGGGCTCTGCTAGCACTTCTGTTGGACAAACTCAGGAGACCGTTGATGTCCGAAAGGAGCAGAACCTGTGCTCTAAAGCCTGGAGTCCTGAGAAGCTCAAGGAATGCAGGGTGTTTTTAAGGAAAATCAACTCTCCAGACAATAAATCACCCGAGGAAGAGTGGGACTCCTGCACCGTGACACTGGATGACGGGTCCCCTTCTGCATACCACTTTGCAAGAAGGCAGAGAGAACTGGTGGAAGTTGTCAAAGCTGTGAAAACTGAAAGAAAACAGAGCACGAGTAGGAACGCCTCAAGTAAGCTGGCAGGTTCGGCACCCAAATTAGTCCAGGAGCAGGACAAGGTGCCAACAGGGAGGCAGAATGGCAGATACAAAAGTCTGCCTAGGGCCCAGTCTACAGATCAACAATCTCCACCACCAGCGAAAACGGTGAGACAATCGCGCATGAGGGGCCTGACTGGGCCAAGATGGTGCGACTTTGTGTTCGGTAAGTAGCTAGCTTCTTCTGTTGGACATCAATTTATTACATTTTGATTTCAAGGCGTCACAAAATAACCTGCACTCTTTCTTTTGACAGAAACCTAAATTAATCATGAGGCAGCCTCCGAGCTGGGAAAAGGGACTGTGGTTTATAGATGTGCCTTTGGACATTGAGCTGACCACATGGACTGACCATCCCGACATGGTTCAGTCTTACACTCAGCCGTTATGTAGCAGTCTAACTTAACAAAAGCTTGATGTTGCACTATTTTTATCCTTGGATAAGTATGTACAGAATGTGTGATTTTGTTTTGTTTTGTTTTCTATTGTCATCTTGCCTCGGTCTTTAATAATGTTCATAGTAGATCAAATCATGTCAAACTGTTTAATCGAAGACGCTCGTACAGCGAGCCCTTTCATATTTGCTGCATTAAATGGAAAGAAACAGCTTAACTGTATCGAGACAATGCCACCTCCCCTTAAAGATACCTCATTATTAAGGCCACAACAATGACTTATTTTTTGTAAATGTTAAACTAAATCCAATAGACATTATTAATGCAAGTCATTGTCACAGAGAGAGGGAAGCTCTAAAAAAATCTTTCAGAAATGTAATATTTATTTATATTGCAGCTTAATTTGACACTGTTTAGGTTTAATTTTTTTATTTAATATTTTTCTATTTTTTAGATTTCATAAAGTTTTAGAACTAATAGCAGAGCATTGGTTGCCATGTTTTACCTTTGATGGTCCTGTCGCTGTTGTATCGCAGTTCAGTAGTCCCAAACAATGCTTTAAATGAAGGTTGTTTGTTTTCTTTGAATCAACCAAGCCCCTCGTATTTACCCTTATTATGATCAGTTTTTGGGGCCCCCAACTACACATTTGTATATTGAGATACCGCCTGTTATGTCCTTATTTCCCTTTAAGTATTCTTCAAGCAACATTCACAAGTCTTGGCACCAAACTGTAATCAGCATACACATACGATATCTAAAAGAGAACATTTTCTGCCCAGACATCCCACATTTAAGCGATGAAGGAAGTGGAAAGCAGTCGTAGAAAGTAGTTCATTTATCTTTGTGTTTTCTTTGTTTTCATCCAAAGCAGATTCTATATATTGGTGTTGGATCCACGTCTTGCACTACTCCCATCAGAGATTATTCATCCCACTTTACATATTTCTCGCCCATATTTTGCACATCCCACGTCCCACTACCAAAACCCTACTGTAAAAAAAAACAAAAAAAAAAAAATAGAGAATATATTTGGTGCAATACAAACCCAGATATTTTATCTGTATGTAGTATTTTATTGCTGACAGACAAATGGATGTACCCAAGTACCAATGGCCTGGGATGTTACTTGTGTTTGTTTTTCCATAGCCATGTAATGTGATCTTGAGAAATATTGCAATACATCCACCTGCTGTTCTCCCCAATGAAACATTAAATGTGTTAATTTCTATAAATGTACTAGCATTAATTACAAATCCAATGCAAAGGGGAAATGTACACCCCCCTTTTTTTTTTTTTTAAGTTACAGTAAAAGATGCCTACCTCCACAAAGGCTCAGCTAGTCCTACTGCTTTTTGTCAATCTTGTGACGGACAAAGCTAGACAGAGGATTGGAAAGTACTGATCCTGGATTTCAAACCCGTTTTCTTTTTGCCCTGTAAAGATTCAAAATGTCTAGCTGTAAGTCGAAACGTATACCTGTATTGTGCATTGTGTGTCTGACTCCAGTTGTGTCACTACGGTTGTCATGTCAGCACAAACAACAGAGGAGAGGTGGCTCGGTCTTGTGATAAATCACCATCAGCCCTCTGTTGAAGAACCCTGGTGCTAAAATCTTAGTTGTACATTTTTTTCTTCTTTACGTGTTTTTATACTGTTCATTACAGATGCAGCAGATGGGTGTCTGTGGTTGAAACAATAAAGAGATTTTGAATGAACCGAAAACGTGCGACGAGTTGTTTCTTCAGATTTTACTTTAATGGTTAAAATGGCAAACTTGAACCGAAAGACATTTAAAAAGACATGACCAGAGAGTCAGGAACATCTTTCAGTTAAGACACATTCACTGGTCTGGTCTGACTGGATTAAAAGTTAAGACACCTTAAAAAACTTTTCATGACTTACAAAAACATCAAGATGGATGATTGTTAAATGGCACAAGAGTCAGACAAAGAACATTTATATTTATGACAGCAGATAAGAACAATGAGTGAGAAGTTTGTTAAAAGAAAGCAGGAATAGATTGTCAGACAACACTACACATGCACAGGACAAAAGCAGCAATCCTACTTTGTCCACAGGGGGCGCCAAAGTTGTTCCTCACAGGAGGTATAAATGCTGGTAAAAGAAAGAAAAGTATTTCATCATCCATTTGTGCACACTTTGTTCCCGACTTCTATCAGACATTTGCCTCCTGGTCGATGAGGGGGTTAAGGTCCAGCTTCGTCTTCTCCAGAGCTGCAGACTTAGCCCGCCGAGAGGGGCGCACCATGGGGACGGACTCTGGAACGTTTTCTCCATCGCTGCAGCCGCAACAAAATGTATGAATTTATATTATTTTAGTCAAGGGTTGTATAATTTGTATGTTAAATGATTAGTGATAAATATACAGTTAGACAAGTTTAGATAAATAAAGTGTAGGCTTTGTATGTTTAAAAATAATAAGTGTGGTTTACAAGGCATTGACAATTCATTAGTCGTATATATGCCTACATATTTTCTTTTGACTAAAAAGGCTTCATAAAGAGTCAAACAGTTTGGCTAGTTTGAACTGTGATTGTCATAATGCATTTCTGCAGAAAAAGATAAAGTGACTTCAAATCAGAACATTTTGACCTTTAAAATTAAATTCCCATTAGGCCTACATGCGTTCTCTAAAAGATACATTTCTGAATATTTATCTAAAAAAAACACATCTTGAGCATTTCTGTAATTTCTGCTGACGGATCACTCGCCTCTCCTCGGACGACTCTGCCCTCCTGCTCGGCTTTCTGCCCGTTCTGGGCGTGCAGACTTTCCTCTGACCTGCGCACACAAACACTCAGGTTACCTCAAAGTTGCTGAGTCAACTCCTTCACTCAGGTAGACGAGAGAGGAGCTCTAAAAATATAGTAGAGAGCGGTATCAACAACTGCAGATTCAGGTGAGTGTGCAGAAACCTGCGTTACCTCTTTTGGCTCTCTTGGCAGATTTCGATGGATCGTCTGCTGCAGCCTCTGTGGAAAGACAGCAGAGAGAAACCTCGTGTTATTACAGTTCCTGTCTTCTTAACTTGACAAAAGGCCAAACGGAGTGAGGTGTTTAATCCACTTAGCAACATTCTAGTAATAATGTCTAATCCTTTGAGAGGGAGAGTGTGTGGAGTAAGTCTACTTTGAAGACATCTCATTACGGATGCTAAGCTGGATGTCAGGCAGGCAGTTCTACAGACTGTCACTGTGTTTGCATGTGTACCGTCTGCATTGACGTCCAGGGGCTGTAATGCGCTGGCGTTGAGTAGCTCCGCCTGTTCTTTTGAGTCCACGAGCTGAGACACCATCTTCTCCAGAAAACGGAGACAGTTGCGATCCTTCACCACCTGGAGGAAAGCAGCAGTGATGAGGAGTATGTACATTTATACAGCCAGTATTTAAAGTGCATTTTGAGTCAAACTACTGACAGTGAATGTCTTTCTTTTGGTTCAGCCTTAAACACTGTCAACATCGGTTTGATGCATTACCGTGACAATTTGAACAGCCATTTATGAGCATATTAGAAACCCTTAGATTTTTGCGACGACCCCCTGACTGACTAAGAGCCCCTCTTGTTGCCTTGTGTCTCTCCCCACTCAGTTTGTCTTGAGGTAGAAAGGGGCGGGGCCAGTTAATTTGATGTCATGCTCCTGGGCAGACTGGGCCTTGTATTTTTTAAGCTGGCATCTCAGTCTTTCTTTCTCGCTCTTGTCAACACTACATTTGTTTTGTGTCCAAGGAGAGGATTAAAATCACGCTGCAGAAACATCCCCCCGTACACATCAAAGACACATTTGCAAAAACATTACAAGTACCACTTTGTCCACAGGGGGCGCCCAAAATCAACACAAACAAGAAGTGTCTCACAGGAACTTGAACATAATCATCCGGTTAAAATTTAGATTTGTGCAACGGAGTCATCAACAGATTCTTCTAAAACTTAAAATATGTTTCCATCAGCCTCAGCTGCATGATGTGTTGGTCCTGAACAGTGAATGTTGGCAGGCTAAAACAGTAACCAGCCTGCTAACACAGCAGCACACTAGCACAGTCATTGTGTCCTCGTGTTAGCATGCTGATCTTGAAATGCTTCGCCTGATCTCAGCCTCCTCTAGCTGCTAGTTGATATGTGTATATGTACCTGTACAAGCTGCTGCAGCAGCGTCTGCAGGTCTCTCCTGACCGTCTCGTCTCGGCTGAGCTCCAGGTTGCTCAGAGTCTTGGCATAGAGACGCACCTCGGGGGCTGTGGGGTCTCTCAGCATCTCACCGCAAATGCGTACAGCCAAGAAGTCATGGACACACACCTCCTACAGACACAAGCCACAAATATACCCTCAATTTATGAACATATACTGAAGCAGAACAGAAAACATTCAGACAGTAACTGTGGAAAGAAAAAGCAATATGAAGAAAAAGCTTAGGGGGCCCATTATAATACAAGCACTAATGAGGAACTTCAAAATGAAGCCCAGCCAGATTGATCAGGGAGGATCTGACGAGCTCACATCGCTCTCAGTCTCAGTAGATGTTTTATTACCTCTGTATTGGTGGAGGGCTTAATAAGTGCGGTGGGACGGGTCAGCTCCACCAGGAGCTCGACCACGTTGTTAATATCCACCTCAGCTAGTGGAGAGGTGGCCGGGGCGTTCATAAGAGTCCGAACAGTCGGCAGGAAACTCTCCTCCAAGACCTCCTGGTGGGCCCTGAAACAAAGATTGAATCCATGTTAGTTTGTAATGAAGACCAAATAACTTCACTGAGGCCAGTTATCACACCTAAAATCATCAATATGCACACCTAGCTGACTCAACAATTCAATGAAGTTATCCTCGCTAGTCCTCACCAGAATCACAAGTCAGTTAAACATATACAGCATTTGTATCAAAAGACATTTTGAGTTCCCACAGGAGCAGCACTGTTTTGGAGTGTTAAAATAAAAGCTGTGTGTGTGGGCTGTGTCAGCTTAAAGAGGCGTATGGAGCAGAGCAACATGTAACCACATTCAGCTCAAAGGAATGGACATGACCCTGCGAGGAGGACCGAGGGCTGCTGGTGCTGCAGTCAGCCACAATCGGCCAACCAATCAGAGATCTCCTCTGACTTTTAAAGGTCTAATTTTAATGATGAGTGATTTGAATTGTATCGAGGTCTTATTCCTGCAATTGTTGAATTTCTTGTTCTAATAAATATATTTGGAGGTGAGGGGACAGCTGCTGTCGTTAAGATTTAACTTCTTTTTTTTTTTGTCAGCTCCTAGAATCAGAATCAGGTTTTACTGCTAAGTACATTTACACATACAAGGAATTTGACTTGGTGTATTGGTGCTAAACAATTAACAAGGAAGAGTTGCTACTAGATGCTTACAATAAAGTATCTATTTATCTTAATTACCTGCGGACGCTTTGATCCCGCTCAGTCACAAACGTGACACAGTTCATCACAAAAATAACGAGACACGATATCCACTAAATTTAAATAAATCGTGCTCAATGTTGACCGTTTCCTGAGCCTTACATTAAAGGCTTTATATGTGATTTTGTTGATCCAGCAGGTGTCGCCCTTGAGCACCAGCATGAAACCAAAACAACTCACGCTGCATTGTTGTGTTAGCATCCAAATCTAGCGATCTTTATTACGCTCGTATCTTCACACTGCATGTAAATTTACCTGAAATGAGCGTGATCTAGAAACACAGTTAAGCAGTGAGTACAGTATGTTATTCTTCTTTTCTCTAGTCCCTCAATTAAACAACTTTTATACACGAGGGGAGGAGTCAGCCGGCCGTCCTGGCGATGTAAACAAACTGAAGATAGGACTCTGAAAACTCTGAAAACATCACAGACAGTGGGACTCGGGTGTTACACCCATTGTAGACAGTCATGACTCACAGAGTTATTTTCAGAGGAGATACTTGATTTATATTATATTTAAGAGTGAAAAATCACATAGAAAGACTTTAAGACAGGTCGACTAGTCTGAAATTAAATGTCTGTATAACCGACTAGGAAGTTAGTCGTCAGGGGTATCCCAACCAATTATAAAGGAACGAGGACTTCAAGATGACCACATAGCTTATTGTGTGTGTGTGTGTGTGTGTGTGTGTGTGTGTGTGTGTGTGTGTGTGTGTGTGTGTGTGTGTGTGTGTGTGTGTGTGTGTGACCTGCTCTCGCGGGCGTAGAGCTGGAAGAAGACTCCAAGGCAGTGCCGTAGTCGTGTGTCGTCCTCGGTGACAGGATTGTACCACAACAACACCAGACGGGAGAGCATCTTGGCACTGGACATACGGCCGGTGTAAATCAGTTTAGCCAGACCCTCAGCGGTCTCTGTGCGCAGGTCAGACACCTGAAACCCAAGAGGATAATATTTTTTTTTTTTTTTTAAATGTCTCCAGCTGTTTCACATATTAAAAAAAAAAGACATGCGTGTGTTTGTTTTTGAAGTTTCACCTCGCTGTCCAGGAACTCTGAGAGCATCACGATTATACTCTGTGAGGTTTCCTCGGGGGTGTCTCCCTTCTCCTCGGCCACAGGTGCGTCCTCTTCCTGTCTGTCCGGGGACTGAGAGGGCGGGGCGGTCTGAGCGGCAGCCGAGTCAGAGAGCAGCTCGAAGCCGAACAGCAGCAGCAGGTCGATGATCGCCCGCAGAGCACTGATACGGATCTTTATCTCATCCAGCTGGGCTATCTAAAAAAATAAAAAATAATAAAAAACACACACACACACACACAGCAACATACACAAATCAATAAAAACACATTTAAAAACACGCTTCAGATCTGTGGATTATCTCAGCTGCAGAAATCTAAAGACCCTAACTCCTACATGTTGAAAGGATATTTGAATATCAGGTCATTCAAATGTAAAACCTTATCGTTACCTGTAGCAGCAGCACCATGTGTGTTTTGGCGAGCTCCCGGCTGTGCAGAGTGCATGTTCCCAAGCACACCACGGCCATGTTGCGGACAGCTGGGTGAGCGTTTGCTATACAGGGCAGGACCTGACAGAGAGGACAAATGGTTACAACTTTTATTCACTTTAATCACTTGCATACATTGATAATTGTCTGACGACGTGAGATGAAAGATCAAAAGAAATGGCTGGGATTAAACCAAGAAGTCATCATCTCCTGAGTGTTTTTTACAGACTGTGTGGTATTCAAAATGCATGCATGAGTCTGCAGTGTAGGTCTTTACCAGAGAGGACATGAGGGCACTTATGGTTGGACCAATCCTCGTCTTGATGCTCATCTGCTTCAGCAGCTCCGCACACATTGTGAGACACCTCAGCAGAGTCTCGGGGTCGTTCTGAAAGGCAGAAAAACAAACTGGAGTCAGGATCTTTTCTCTGCATTTTGACCTGTAGGAGGAAAATGTTTGAACTTTGAAGAGGTGCAAAGAAACTGCAGTTCCTCAAGTGTCCACTAGTTTAACAGCAGAAATCTAAATGTTTACAGCCTGGTAACTCGTCCCTTTTGATTTTATCAAACCTGAGACATAAAGATAAATTTGTACAATTAGGGGCGTGGCTTAGTTGAGCTGTTTGCCAGAAGGCTAAAGGCTAGCCAAAGCTAGGTTGAGAGAGCATTTCCAATATGACCGCCACCATTGGGCTTTGAAACGCCTCTTTACAGTCGATGGATGACATCACTGAAATCACAACCATGTTTTATACAGCCTGTGGTGAGTGTGTGTGGTTCTTTACCTTCTCAACGCGGGTCTCCTTGTCAGCCTGCTGGCTGCTCGCTGCGATCTCCTGGATGACGTTGTTCCTGCGGTTCTCGAGCTCTGTGATGGTGTCCTTCAGGCCGGCAGCACGGCTGAAGTCCTGCGCCGCGATACAGTCCTCCAGGGTTTGTTTGGCCTCCATGATACGCACCTTCACCTCTGCAAGCTGGAGGAGGGGAGGAGGAGGGGGGAGGAGGAAAGCAAATTGAGTTGGGGACATGGGAGCCATTCCTTAGATATAACACACTCCAGAGGATTAATGACTGTTGAGATGGGAAACGACACCTCCATCAACAATAAAAACAACAACAGCTGAGGGTTTGGGGACGCGTTAGAACCCTCTAGAGTTTAAAGTACTCACTGAAAAGAAAGACAGAGAGAGAGAGAGAGAGAGGGAGCAGGTGCACAGATGGTATGGGAGCTAAACACCTGGGTACGACTGACTTCCTTGGCAGCTGTTTGGCCTCCAAGATATTACAGGCATTCTTCAGTGCTTGTTTGAAGATGAAGGATTGAGACAGGTCGGTGACTGTAGCCGTGCCCACAGTTGTGAGCATCCCCTCTGTGCATATTTGTGTTCATAGAAAGAAGCTGCCTTTCACAGAGTCAGCCAGATCAGTGTGACTTGAAAAACAAAGCTAGCTACTAGTCATGGATACACCAGACAGAGTTCAGATTATAGCACACACATAATAAGATCTTTCCACCTCACTTGTTTAAAACGTGCTGTGGCTCCAAATACAAAGCATCTGTGCAGCTGGAGGCGCAGAGACATGGACGAATAGAAACGGACAGACAGAGGGAGGAAACAGAGCAAGCATCTCAGAACTGAGAGCGCTGAGATGCTGAAAGCTTTTTTTTTTTCTACTCTCTTTTAGAATCTGTTAACCTTGAATAAAAATGTTTTGATTTTCCATAGCACACAGTGAGGTTGTCAAAGCAATGTGTTAGTTATTTTTCGATACTACATGTTTTTTAAAACGTTACAATCTCTGTTACTGTAACGGTGGAAAGAAAGGAAAAGTACAGAAACTTTAAAAAAAAAAAAAGAAAGTTGTATTTTAAAAAGAGGGACCGTCTAAATTGCACAAACACACACATTGCCAATGTTTTGTGCAATTCAGTGAGTGTGCAGGAGCTTGCTTGCAATTTTTGGTAATAAAAACAAGACATTGCGCAGCATCGGGTGTCTAAGATTTCTATTTTTGTTGCCTTTGTATCAAACAGGTATCGATATCGTTAACTCATTTCATATGTAGTATTGTAACCATCCTTATACAGAGAAGTGCGAGTGTGAATGATCTAAACCCTCTCACGAAGAGGAGACATATTGTTGCAATGTGCTGAATATTTGGTGTTTTCATGCGTCCAAAAAGCAGCAGCCTGATTGGGAAGGATTACTGAGTGTAATTTCTTGATGGTGCCGTCAGTCGGCAGTGTTTGTTACCGACCTGGACCTGCTGCCGACGGCTCTCGTTCTCATCCACGGGCACGCTGGTCTCCGTGATGGGCTCCCTCACATCTGAGATGATCTCTGCCACCTGGTCGAGAAACGGGTCAGCTCATTTTAACATCAGTCTCAGCGATAATGACACCCACTGTTGAATTAAACAAACTTCACCTGTAGGTTTTTCATTCCTGACTAAAGTTCAGGGTTAGGAGTTAAGTGTTACTCACAGTCTGTATGCGTCTGAGGTCATCCAGGATAAGGGCGAGAAGTTTCTCGGTGAGAAGGGAGACCAGGGAGGAGGGAGTCTGAGGGAGAGCCAGCATCTCCTGCAGAACGGCCAACACCCTCTTTCTATACGATCCAATAAAACAGGACGAGTCGGAATTAAAAACCCTCAGAAGGTCACACACACACACACGTGGCAGATTTCAAAATGATGTTTGAATCCCACTTTCTAAAATGTTGCTAACACAATCGTGCGTCTCCTCTGATTCCTACCTGCCGCCCTCCTCGTTGGTGTCCAGACACCCGATCAGATGGATTAGCTGCTGTGAGATGAACTCTTTGGTCATGACGAGCTCCAGCTGGTTAAAGTCGGCCCTCTGTTCCTCGGACAGCAGAGGCACCGCCTTCAGATATCTAAAACAGCAAAGAGTCAGATGTAACAACAGCTCTCAGAGTGCAGTCACAAACCAGCTGAGGCTAAGGGAATCACAGTGATGCAATTAAGAGCACATCACAAAGCAATATCAGACGCAGTGCTGCAAATGTGATCGTTGTTAAGCCTGCACCAGCACTGCCTGCTAGCCAAAGCTACAGCAACATTAGCCGTCAGCTAGCCCCAGACAGATCTATACATCTGTGCAATTAATCTAAATTAATGAGAAGCCGGTTTATTTTATGAGCAGATAAATGCATCAAGCATGCCACCCTGTTCAAGCAGATTTAAGGAGCCATCACTCCACATCTACACATTTATTAAGAAGGCGGTAGAACAGCAATCACTATGTTGATGAAGAGAAAAGTTCCTTTGAGTCCTTCCATATCGAGAGGAAGAAGGTGCATAAAATGTTGTTTTTGAAGTCAACACAGGAAGTCTTATGTATGATGTCATCCTTTGCAGCTAAATTGAAATCAGTCATGATCTTAACTTGAGTCATTGGTGGACTTTCACTTGATCACAAACAATCATTAACTTATATTACATTTTCTTCTGACTTATTTTTTTGTGCTGGATGGTTTATATATCGAGGTCACACACTTTAATGTAATCATCAGCGTTAATTTGAACTCAAGCAGAGGTAGGACACACAGTTACATACGGAGAGCGCTCCTCAGTCGGCCTCCGCTCAGATGCCTGAGTGACAACATGGTCATTATGTCAACAGCATCCAAAGCATCACAAAGTACCTTTAAGTAGTCAGTGCTATATATGAACAGATGAGGTTCTAACAATGAGTCACGCTGGTCTTTAAACAGCAGTCAGGTCAGGAGCACATATTGAACTTTCTTCATGGAATAAAATGTGAATTAAAACTTGATTTGTGAGGCTGAAACACACTGATGTTAAAGAAGCCTTCTTAAGAACAGAATTTGAGTTTGCCTTGACATTTTTTTGAATTCTTAGCTGCTAAGGAGAAAGGAGAACATAAAGAGGTGAACTGAGAACTAAAAACACTTCTAGAAAACCTGAGGAGGAAATACATTTTATGGGACAACAGATGGAAATGAGCTAGTTAGCTAAATCTGATACAAAGCATCTCTTAGCTTCTGAGACTAATGATTTCTTTTGTACACTGTCCCTGATTCAAATAAACGATTAAACTAAACTAACATTTTATGTGTGGATTTATTTATCTGGTTACCTCATGTGCATAAACGTCGTAATACAAAACATGAATGGCTTTTCATAATTATGAAGCGTGCTTAGTTTACAAGACAGGCGGACTCGAGAAAGAAAAGATAAGAAGAAAAACAGACAGATATTTTACTGACTTTGTGGCTTATTTATAGTCATTTTAGTCACATACAGACAGAACACTCCGGGAATTCTCCATAATAAAGGCTGTCCACGTTGTGTGCTCTTCTTGCGCACCTCTTTGAAGCGTGCCAGGGCTAAAGAAGTGTACCGTGCTTGAGCACAGATCGGAGCGCTAGTCAAACGATCTGGACTTCGGGGGTGAAGCATGCTTAAGCAGGGTACAGATCGCCTCGTGTAAATCTCGATCAAAATAATCGGCGTTATGATTTTTGCCATAATCGAGTCGTTCTATTTTAACCTCTTCTGTAACTTCAATGACTGACAGATCATTGCAATTATTTTTTACTTATTTGTATACTTTCTGTGTTGTGGTAATCCAGGGGAGAGAGATGATTCAATCTTTGTTTGCCCCTTTTGTCTGCTGTTTTCATCCCTTCTTTTGAAATGTATTGTACAAGGAATTATGTACATGATATATCGATATGATTCTCCTCTCCTGTATATTTGTGGGCTGTTGTTAAAACCACAACACCTTGTTTTTCCTTTATTGTAAGTGACCATGTTGAAACATAAATAATAAAAAAATGTATCGCAAAAAAAACTTCACTTCTCTCACCCGTAGAGGTAGTCGGCGTAAGATGCAGCATCAGGCAACACCTGCTCCAGCATTTCATCCCCGTCGTCTCCTTTCTCCTTGATGAACTCACACAGAGCTCTCCAGTAAAGCACAGTCTCACAGGTCAGACAGTCCACGGGGATCAGCTTCCTGTTGAGAAAAAAAAAAATACCCTTACAATGTCTGACCTCTAACCTCTGTATAAATAACATGTGAGAGGAGCAGGAGAGAGGAGAGGGCCGGGTGTACCTGTTGTCGAGCTGCACCCGGTTCTGCAGAAGTTCTTCAGCTGCCGTTCCTTTGAAAATGGCTTTCAGCGTGTCCAGGGCTGTTTGCGAGCAGTTTTCGACGTCCAGCCTGTGGAGCAGCTCTATGACGTTACCGTCGAGCCGCTGCAGCCAGGAGGGCAGCAGGCGGGAACACACCACATCCCTCACGGCTTCTACAGCGCACACACAGCCAGTCCCGGGCACGAAGGGATTTAAAGGCACAAAATGAATCACTGACTCAGGGTTCCTGTCATTTTCATTCAAACATTTGAAGAAAATCACTTGTTTCAGCTACTCCAATGTAAGATTTGACACTTTTTTAAAGATTTATTTTTGGGCTTTTTGTGCCTTTAATGGAGAGATAGGACAGTGGATAGAGCTGGAAACCAGGGAGAGAGAGCACTAATGTCATCCCATAATAAAATCAGTATAAATATAACTGAAGATCTGCAGTGTTTTAACGCTTCTTTACTTTTCCATAGCATCAATCATTAAAACAACGGAGACATGCATCATTTTCAAATATGTGGCATCAAAAAGTATCAAGGTATCGAACATTTTGACAACTTAAGCCAACACACACACACACACAGAGAAGATGGATATTACCTGAAGTGTCACGGAGGCCCTGCTGCAGCAGATTCACTCTCTGTGCGATGCTCAAAGCTTGGATGTGAACTTTGTCAGACAGAACCTTAAACAGAAAGAAAGGTTAAAGTTCAAAAGAGCACAGTTCATAGAAAGAACTAACAAACTTTATTAATATGGATCTACATGTTGATTACTAGCCATGTGTGTTTTTATATCTACACCAGATCATTTGACATCGGGTGTACCTGGTAGGCGAGCTTGCGGACGTTCTCTTTGATGTCCCGGGTGCGTTTGAGGACTTTGGGGAGGGTGCGAGGAGACATTGCAATGCAGGAAAGAACGGCGCGCCTCACCTCGGCATTTGAATCGTTTTCCAGAATCAACATGTACGCTGAAAAGGGGGAGGGGCAGAAACAGAGTAAGGCACAGTTAGAGGAGTCATTTTAATGAGAAAAATATAAACTGGAACAAGTCAAAGTGATGTTAAAGGCTACTTTAGGTTTATTTATACAGCATATTTCAGCAACAAGGCAATTCAGAGATGCAATATTCTTAAGTGTTGGACATATATCTCTACTCAAAAAGAAATTCTGCTTAAAACAAAAGTTGTTACAATCTACTAATCATGACATTTCTGCAGATACATTACACATAAAGCATGCATTGTGCAAGAAAACAAAGGCAGTAGAACAATAACACTAACCATTGATGGTGGGACAGTCGGGATCCTTTGGCTGTTGTAGGCGGGTCATGGCCAAAGCAGCCTGAATCCTCACGTTGGGGAACTTATCGGTGACGCGCACCAGCATGGCTTGGTGGATGCGATCGAAGAGGTCGTCGTCGATCTGGGCGTTCTCTGCCATGCTGCCCAGCAACTTGTTGATCAGCTGGCACACACGGAAACGCACCGCGTGGCTGCTGGCTTTGTGAGACTGAGAAGAAAAAAGGAGGGTGTAAAATGCATCGGTTCAGAAAAGGGGAGTGGAGAAGGTCTGCTTCAAACATTCATATATCACAACATCTTGTCATTTTACATACAAAGAAAAACTGTGTCTGCAAGATAAATTCTTGTGTAAAAACATGTTTATACCTCCAACAGGAAGTTGAAGATGAAACTCAGAAATGGGTGATCATCCTCAATGTCTTCATCCTCCTCCTCCTCCTGTTCCTCCTGCTCCCCCTCCTCCTCCCCCGCTTTAGGTGCAAACTGGAAACTTGTGGCAAACCGCGCGACAAACTCGATGACGTTTTCAACCGTGGGCTCACGCTTGTAGACTATCATGGCGTACTTCATGTAGTGGACGAACTCTTCGTGGAACAGCGTCTTGTCCTCGAGCTGAAGGATGTCATCGATAACAGGAAACAGTCATCAAAGTTTCCAACAGAACATGTAGAAATTAATTAGAAATAAACTTTCTTTGTTGGAACATAACTCCAACTAAAGGGGCGATTTGAGTCTTAACAGTTTTCTGTTTTTGACTTTATTTATATTATAGTCAGAACTGTTGTGTGTGATCACATCAGCGGCTAAAAAAATAACACGGCATTGAATTAACCAGGTGAGAAGCTCGATGAGATTAAAATCTAGTTTTCTAGTGCGTGTCCTGGACAAGCAGCAGAGTCATCAAAGGTCCCGACAGACAACGAACAGCCCCTCTATTGGGTTCAGGTTAGAGGTCCAGTGTGAGGTGTACACAGTCGGGGATTTGGGGTCCCATGTCATCTGCTGGTGTTGTGCAACTCTATTTGCTTAGTTGTTTTATTTGTCTCTCAAGAGGTGAGGTCCCTTGTATAAGCCTGTTGGCTGCTTGACCTCTTCTCACACACCTTTTAAATTTTAGTTAACCCTATGGGATGTATTCTTATATGTGTGCTAAATAAATAAATAAAATTGGTCCACTGTGTTTAATCATATCCAGACTGAACGCGGCGGTCTACCAGGAGATTTAAGAGCACTTCATGTTTCCGTCTGCAAACAAGCTCGATGGAGACGCTGATTTCCTTTTCCAGCAGGACTGGACACCTGCCCACAGCGCCAGAACTACAAGTAACTGGTTTGCCGAAAGTGGTATTAATGTGCTTGACTGTCCAGCTGAGTACAGATGTGAATCTCGACACCTTTGAAATGATTTATCACGATTTATGATTAATATTTACATCCCTACTTATTGCAAAAAAAAGGATGTTTAAACATTTTAAGTGTAATGTATTATAATAATAATAAAGTTTATTTATAAACTTTGTAACATAGCAATGAATAAGGTCTTTTTACCTGCTCTTTTGTAATGTTAACAGACAATGAGTAAGGTCTTTTACCTGCTTTTTGTAAAGTGTCTTGAGATAACACTTGTTATGAGTTGATGCTATACAAAATAAATTGATTGAAAAGTGAATTGAATTTACAAAGTGCTTTACATCAACAACAAAAAACAAGAATATAACACAATATGTTATTTAACCTTTATGTTTACTGTGTGCATGATGGTTTCTGTACAACTGTGAATATTCAGAGTATATCTGTAACAACTGCAGCTCTGTTTTTACCTTCTCCAGTATTTAATGAAGACTGTTTGCTCTCTTTAAGGGGCTCTTTGCTGCTGCTGTGATACATTTTGGTTCCTCTTTTCCATGTTATTTTAATGTTATCAGCTTCACCTGTACATATAAAGGTAATACAGGGTCCATGAATACATAAGAGCATGTAGAGGTTACCTTGCAGTATCTGCTCTTCAGACTCGCCACCAGCTTCGCCTTGTTGTTGTGGCCTCTCTGAGCGCGCTGAAACGCCTCTTTAATCTCCATTTCGTTGTCCGCAGTCATCTTTCCTCCAAAGAAAACAACAAACAAAGTCAGAATAACTCAAACAGTCGTATGAGCTTTCCTTACAACAACAACAACATTTGCTAAATGTTTACTAAACAGTAGCAGCAGCCTGAAGGTCCCCGGTGCCTCGTTAGTTAACGTTACCTCATCAGCTCCGCCTCGAAACGACTCACACAGAAAACATCATAAACGAGCTAAATCACGAGGGATTAAGTTCACTAAGTGTACGAGACACACGCTGCTTCGTTCCTTTTTTTGTTCTTGTCACGATTAGATAAAGTATTAATGAAATAATTAAACGTAAAATACGTTTTAGAAATGTACCTCTCCTTTCGTTTTCTTCTCACAACACTGCCGCCGGTTTTCAAAAATTCAACTGACGTGTGTTCTCGCGAGAAGTGAGACGAGAACTCGTAATGCCTACGTCATGAGGAACGGTCTTGGTTTTTTGTTTTGTTTTTTTGCATTTCAAAAAGGTATTTAAACTGTTTGACAAATCACAAATTGCTTTGAATGCCTGTTTTTTTAAAACTTTACAAAGATATATTTTTTGCTGGTATGAAAAGGAAACATTTTCCTGTAAATATTTTGTAACACTGGGTGGATATTTGGATTGTAAATACACTGGGATTGTTATTCATTTAATGTATAGGTGAAAAAGAAACTACTCATTTGTATATTAGTTGTAAACAATTTGAGCTTTTCTTGGAATAATATATGAAACAATAGAAAGTGAGAAATGGGACTTGGACATATACGTTTTACTTCTACCTACTCTTTTGTTTTGTTTACTTGTTATGTCTTGTTTAAGTTTTTGGTTCAAAATAAAATCTTTCATTCAAAGCTGCATATTTAGACAACAAAATAAAACATAACCAAGAATAACAACACACAAATATATAATAACTTTAAATAAATTCAAATAAAATACATTAACATGGAACTAATACAATTAAATTAAAATGAACTACACATTTGGGGGTTTAATCGACTAAGTAATTCATGTCTTCTGTTAGGCTTTTATTTATTTCTCCGAGTTTTTTTTCCCCTGAGTTTAGTCTGTCAGGAGGCTCTAATATTATCAGCTATGCAGCCAATTAAAAAATACAATTTTTTTTTTGGATTAACAAAATTTTTAAGGCAATAGGGGAAAAATTGTTTTCCAGCTAAAACAACAACAACATCAATAACAACCTTGAAAGAGCTTTTTAATTGAGCATTTGTCTGCCAGTCTCTGTATTCATAACAACTGAATACTTTAAGTTATGGATTTGGGTCATTCAGCTTTCTGTTAATATTATATACATGATATTTAGATAAAAGCATAGAAATCAAATCCCTTTTCAACAGGACAGAATGTATTGTTCTTTTCTGCCTTTTGACCCTGAGTTTCATTCATTGTGCCGATATATTTGTATCTCCTCTTTAAAAAAAATGTCTTGTGTTGTAAAAATCAAAAGTGTTTATAAATAAAATCTATAAAGCTTCTGACTGCAGAAGTTGTGAGACAAAAACATAAACATGACATCACACTTCACATCATATAAAAATGTGGTTTGTTTGCATAATTTTTTTATTTGTCAGTAAAACTCAGTGTGGATTAATTTCTGTATGAAAATAAATCATCATTCCCTCTAACACAGCCTCTAACCTGCCCACATTTCATGATCAATATTTGGGTCATATATATTGGTATCAAGATGTCAAGGGGTCACAGAAGACAGCTCACGTGTCTCCACATAGCAAATGAGGCACCTGCAATTGATGGCACCAACAGCCTTCTATCTCTGGAAATCAATTTATCACAGAGGATTCTCTGTCGGGCTTGTGCTTAAGACCGGCGCGTGTGGGCGTAGGATTATCTGAGAGGTGTATTATCAAATTAAATATGTATGATTGTGGATGGAGGGCTGAAAGTCTCTCCATTAGTCCTTACACCTGATATGTCGGCATAAAGACACTAAAAGGCGGCCTCTATAGCGCTTCTGCAAATCCTCATGCACATGCAGTTAGTGATCCTCTAAATGCTTAAAAGAACAAATACATAACACTATTAGGAAACATGCAAACATCAAACTAACATTTCTTATTTCATTAGTCATCCAGCGACATATGTAATACATATTTATCCATTTAGACCTTGAAGTAAATGTGACACCACAGCATTATCCTGCTGTGACCCGCTGGATTAGAAACATGGGCAGAGCAGACAAATCCCCTAAAGGATTCCCCGATCCTTTAAATCCCTGATTATGTAGCCTACACATTTGATTGATTACTATTTGTTTGGACACATTCTCCAGTGAAGGCCCCAAAAGGCTGGGTGAAAATCCTTCCATCAGTCTCCTCCTGCTGAATCCTCATACCTCCCCGACCTCTCCCTTTAAGAACTCGGTGTCCTTTAAGTGTTTTCTTGGTCTCAAATTAAAATGGCACACACTTTCAGAGAGTCTTTTTTCTCTGAGGGATTCATGTTATTACTCAGTTGGATGAATGAAAACATAAAGAAAAGAAAAAACTTGAAGGATTCAGATCCTGTTTATTTTCATGTATCTGCATTTTTGACTGTTTGCTGCAGGAAAGATGAAGGTTCAACAGTGATGGGAGAACAACTCAACCACATGGCCACAGTTAAAGGGACACACCATAGACTTTACAAATATACTTAAGTGTGTTTATAAAGAGGGGTAATATGAACAAAAGTAGATCTTTATACTTGGAGAATGTTTGTCTCCTTTTAGAAAACAACCCTGATAACGTCATCTGGATGTTTTTTTAAAACCGTTTGTTGTCACCAAGTAATTTGATTGGAAAAGAGTCACATCCTGAGTGCTGATATACAGAACAAAGATATTAGTACTTTAAACCATTTGTAGGCCATCACTCTGATACAGGAGTTCTGAATAGCCTATAACGTCATGTGATTAGAATTACATGAACTGTTTTTGTATTTGTGGAAATTTCAAGAAAGTTTCAGGCAGACTGCCTCTGAAATCTTTCTTCTTTTTAAATATTTATTTTGGGGCCTTTAATGCCTTGATTTAGAGATAGGGCAGTGAATAGAGGGTTAGGGTTCTGGAAAGGAGCCACACGTCGGATTCAAACCCAGGACCCCCACTTGTACATGGGGTGCGCATAGGCCACGAGAGACTTTTCCTATCTGACAGATGAGAAAACAGATGAGTTATTAAACAATTCTACACCAAATATTGTGAACCAATAGGCTACAGAAGAAAGCTCTTGATACTGAATAAGTTTTGTACAAACATGTAAACATGTTTTATCTGCTGTTAAAACAGGCTTTTCAAAATAAAACCTAACAGGGATGATTGGCATTTGGTACCAGCCTCAAGTGGACACCCGGGGTACTGCAGTCATTGGCTTAATTTTTAACACCAATGGATGCCATTCGAGGGAATTTAGAATATATTAGGCTTATGCATTTTAAACTGTACAGATGTCTATCCCTGAGCCCTTGTGCATTAGGTGCACAGTTACACTAATCTAGTAATTTAAGAGCATAAAGTTACATCAGACAACTAATTGGCTTACTAGTTAATATAATAATTGAGGTAGAAGTACACAAATCTGAGCTGCGTTTCAAAAACAACAACAACAACACGGATTTGTAGTATAGTCTATAAGCACACCTTCAGGCTGTCATGTGTTTCTGGTACTCTCAGCGTATTCTGTTTACGACATCTGACTGAGGGAGTAAAATCACACGACTGGACCCCCCAGAGACCCTCCTCCTCTCCTCCTCTCCTCTCCTCCTCCTCTCCTCTCCTCTCCTCCCTCCTCCTTCTCACGGTGATCCAGCATTGATACAGCAGCGCCGGTAGGGGCGGGGCAGCACTGCAGCAGTGCGCTTCTCTCTCTCTCTCTCTCTCTCTCTCTCCCTCTCTCTCTCTCTCTCTCTCTCTCTCTCTGTCTCTCTCTCTCTCTCTCTCTGTCTCCGGTAATGTTCCGGTAAGGATACAACACGCCCCTCTCCGCCCCTGCCGCGAGACAGGTGGTTGGACTGTAAATGCCTCCATCCGCGAGCGCTCCCTCTTAGAATAAGATTAGAATTTAAAAAAAAAAAAAAAAAAATACCCCGAGAGAGCGCGTCCCCGATGGACTCCCAGCGTGTGACCTCCCCGATCACCGGGCGGATAGCGGGAGAGGGGGGCAACAACAACCGGAACGCACGAGGAGAGCCCCACCGATTCGACTACCTAATGTTTTCCGGCGAGTCGCTCCAGCTGCTGTTCACGGGAGGGGGTCTACCGAGGGACGAATGAGATGCGCGAGTGAAAAGTTGACACGATTTTTGGTGGGAATTTGCATCCGAGAGGCGGCGGCGGCGTGCGGCGGGATCATTTTCTTGACTATCCTCCGGGTTTTGGAAGTCCCCCCCCCCCCCCCCTTGTGTGTGTTGGAGGTTCATTATGGCTTCAGGCGCCGGTAAGGCTGCACAGCCTCCCCCCGGGCCGGGCTCCGCCGTTAACGGGACTGCGGCAGACTTCCAGAACATCGAGCAGGAGCTGTACGACTACCAGATGCACAGCAAGATGTGCAAGAAGATCGCTCAGCTCACCAAGGTAAGAAAGAGAACCTGCCGGTGACACCGAGAGATGCGCGCGGCCCGGGCCGGGCTGGCTGGACGCACGCGCTGTCACCGAGTGTGTGATTGGATGATCTGATGGTCTTGCCTCGCGCTGCCATCACTCTGTAACATAATTACTTGGTGAGAACGTGACCTGTAATCATCCTGTGATAGATGATACTCCAACAGATCCCACTGCAGAAATGTTTCTTTATAAAAATCGATTTCAGAGATTAGAAATATGAGAGGAGAACTATAAACTCTCACGTGTTTAAACCTTATCAATAACTGCCAGCATAATTACCTCTTGGGGAAACTTCGATCAGGCTTCATCTGTCTTCGTGACTGACACAGTAATCAGACATCTGCTATCAGTCAGGGGTTGTTGTTTTTTTTGGGGTGCAGGCTGCAGATCTCCAAAACCTACAGTACACCGTGGCACCAATTAAGAGCGACGTGATGATCAGTTAATCTGCGGATTACCTCTGCTATGCATGGATTTCTCTTTTATTAGACCACTGAGTGACCCCAAAAATAAAGACATCTTAACAATTAATTATTATAATAGGCTTCTTTGTGTGATCCCGTGACAAAATCAAGAATCAGTCATCAGGGAATTGGACTGATTGATGCAGCAAAGCTTGAATTTCCAAATTATTTAAATGCATTGATTGAGTAATATGTCACACTTCTGACACTCACAATCAGTCCTCATTAGTGCCTGTGTGTTTTTTCCTCCATGCAGAAACAGCCGCACTATAGTGTCTGCTTCTGCTGGTTTTTGATTTTCATACAGTAAGCTAAGAAGAGCTATATGGGGATTCTCCCTCTCTCTGGTGCACAATAATGCTTACAGAAGCAGGGCATGACCCGTTGCTTGTTGAGCTATGACAATTACTGATGACCGTGCAGTTCCCCATCTTCCCTTATGGTTTCACCTCTGTGTGTGTGTGTGTGTGTGTGTGTGTGCAAGTGTGTGTGTTAGGAACATGTCAGCAATGCAATACAGGCTTACATGCTGCAGTTGTGTTTGCGTGTGTTGTTTGGAGAGCTTCTTCTTCTTCTTCGTCTTCTTTAAAGGCGCACACAAACAAAGATGACACAAGAAGAGAGGTCAGCACTTGTGTCTGTGCTTGTTAGGGAAATCTGCCAGCCAAAGTCTTTCTACCTCTCATGCCCCCTCCGCTCCTTCCATCCTAATAAAAATAGAAGACAGGACTTGTTTCTTCTCTCTCGCTCTGTTTCTCTCTCTCTTGGAAAAAAAAAACTTTATGCAAGCCCTGCCAGCCCTGCTTCTTTCGCTCTTTGATGACCAAAGTGAATAAATTCTAAAAAAAAAAAAAACTGGAAAGCGCTGATGAAATAATAAGAATCATCATATTGGATATTTTGGAGTAAGCACTTTCTCTGAGCTCTCGGGGATGCATGGGAATGTGACACATGCTTTATTATTTGAGTGTTTTTTTGGGGGGGGCAGTGGAGAGGAAGTGGGAAATGGGTCAGCTGTGGTAACCTTATATATTTAATAACCCCACCACACACACACACAAACACACACACACACTCATACACTCACACATGCACTGGTACTTAGCGCACCTCCTCTTACTCTGCCACTCTGCTATCCACACACACTTCTGCTTGACTTATAACAGCACCCCCCCCCCCCCCCCCCCCTCCATCGAGAGTATAGCCTGTCCTGGTTGAATGGGTGCTGCTTAATATAAACCAGTAGCACGTCGGAGTGTGTTTACTCGGTGGAACAAGCCAATGGGAGGAAAGCGAGGGGCTGACCAGGCCAGCTGCTGTGAATGTTCACATAAGCTTGTGCGTGGACGGGCATACACAAAAACCCACACGAGTGCCAAGAGGCGCGTATAGTGTCTTTACATGACTCACAGAAATCAACAGCAGCACATTAAAAGTCTGTCTCTGTGTTAATATATGCACACACACATTTGATTGGCGGATCTAACTCTGTCTTTTCTTTTGTGGTTTTCCTGCGCTTAGCTATAGCTCACCCTGTCACAATGTTCCATGCTTTGTAATCCAGCACAACTGGTACTGGCTTTGATATGTGTGTAGGTGTGTGTGTGTTTTTGTGTGTGTGTAGGTGTGGGCTGATGTAAGAAAAAAGAGTGCTTGTCTCTTTGCCTAACCTCTCCTCTGTGCACCATCCCTTCACTCCACATCTCACTCCTGTTTCAACAGCCCTCAGTCTCAGCTAGCTCTCTTTCACCACCAAAGACAACAGATTCATTTCATGCTTTGCTGACTATGAAGTTACTGTCAATAAGCACAGGCACTGGCTCGAGTCGTGAGGCTACATGAATAACATCACTGACTGGCACAATCAATACGGGGGATCTGGAGACGGGATTTACAGTAGCAGGAGGCTCTAGGCTACTCGCTGTCTGAACTGCTACAACAAGCATCTCGAGGATTTACACCCAAGAAGAAGAATTTGAGATTAAAACTGTTTTACACCTGAATTTATTAAAGTTTAAGGCTCAAACAAAAACTGCCACCTCTGCTGTTGAAAAAGGAAGCTAGTGCACAAAGTTCAACAAACTACAGTACCTTGAGTGTCCACTAGGTGCTGGTTAAAAAACCCAAGAAACCTCATCAGGTCCCATGTTAAAATGCTAGTTTTACAGCACAAATAAATGAGTTTACAAACTGATTAAAAATACATTTTGGTATTAATAGCTCATTTCTTAACTCGTACACACTGTACAGGCAGTTAATAATTTTTACAACCCATCTGTTTAGATTTAATTAAGCCTAAGGCCGTGTTCACACTTGACTTCTTTTTTCAACTGCCAGCGCCTTTTTTACACACAAGCTTATGGAAAAAGGAAAAAGTATGACGCCTTTTTAAAAAGCGGACGCCTTTTTAAAAAGCGCTGCGCCCAGCGCCTTTTTCAGTTGAATTTTTTCAATTTTTCAGAAAAGCGCTGGGTGACGTCAAGCGCCTTTCTGAAAGCTGACCAATCAGGACTAGTAGTAACCTACGTCCCTAGTTACCTGTGCCCAAAAACGGCAAACTTCCACCAGATATGTGTGCATTGGGCTGCGTTCTCAGTCCGCAGCACGGAGAGCACAGCCGGACAGCTGGAGTATGAAGACAAAGGAGTTTCCGCGGTAATTTAACAGATTCACTGGCGACAGCATGAGATAATACGATGTTCGTGGTATAAAACTCAATAAAAACCTTATAAACACGTAAACAAACAAACAAACGGTCGTTTTTCTGAACCGTCAAAACGGAGGGTGTTATTCTGAAAATGAACCGGATGTTTTAATGTTGTATCGGTGTCTGACTTCCCGTCCCGCTTGTTCTTTTCTGTGCTAAATCAATGCATTGTGCTCCGGCGCGGTTGCACCGCAGACTAGATCCTGTTGTTAAGGCTACAGAACACTCGCGCAAAAGTGCTCAAAAGGCGCTGAAAGCAGCGCTTTTTACTGAAAAAAGAAGTCAAGTGTGAACACGGCCTAAGAGATCATCATAATTTTGCATTATGATAGATCACTGATAGATGGACGTGTTTAGATGTTTGCCAGACAGGAGGCTTCAAACCTACATCAGCTCTAACACGTTGTGTTTCTATATGGATCAAAAGTTAGCTAGAGACAGAATTTACAAATATGCCGCCATGTCCGCCATTGTTGATCTTCAAAACCCCGTCTTCAGAAATGTCACTGAGACTACATGGACTACCACATCCATGTTTTATACGGTCTACAATCGAAAATACAATGTCACCTTTTGAGAACTAGTGCCACCAAAACATTTATCCTTCTTTAAACTTATCTCTTGAACTTTTAGGACACTGCTAATCAGAAGCTTTAGCCGCTAACTTAAAGCCAACCGGAGTAATAGTGGACTGTTTGTGACCAACATGAGGTAATGTGGTACATGCTGCCTTAAGATGTGCTAACTTTAGCTTTCATTAGCCTTTAACAACCCACTGGTTAACCAAAATAAATAAGGCTAAAAGACAAACGTATATCACTTCAGCTTCTTATTGTTAAGAGTAAAAAATATGTCATTTGGTCTTTCAAATTTTTGTCTCCTGTCAAGTCTTAAAGAGTAACGATGTGGATGATGTGACATAATGTAAAACATTTATCTGTGGTTTAGTGAGAATGGAAATAAGAAACCAGCTGATGATGCAAATGCGAAGCTAACTTTGGCTGCTAACTTTAGCCTAACCACCAGTGGAAATTATGAGGTAACAGTGCTAACATGCTACAGTGAGTCAAGCAGTAATACACTCAAAGGCCACTGAAATGACTCGTTCATGTCAGTGAGACAGAAATATATTTTTAAAGTTTGCTAACTCAAGCTAACATTAGCCTCTGTTACCTTTAAGTAAAACCAAAAGTTAATTTTATGAAACAGATTTTTTTTTTATTTCTATCTTGTAGAACAGCAAAATAATTTTAAATACATCCAATCTCAAAGCTCGTGTAAAAATGTACATGATGTTTACGAGCCAATAATGAAAACAAAAACATTAGTGTTTGAATGACAAATCAGCTAAATTGTTATTTACAACACTGGCATCAGACTTGATTTTTACAAAAGGTGAATCTCTGACAAGCCCCCCCCCTCCTCCACTGCACAAACAACTGGTCCATTACTTATTTTCTTAAGAGTTTGGTTAGCAGTAAATGTTGTGATGGTTTCAACACCATCCAAATGGCTTAAAGGGTCTCATTCTCCAACATCAGTGCTTCACTATTTTGATGCTCCTGTGTGAGAAAATGTCCGCAGTAAAGTTTTTCCTAAAGGACATCAGTACATTAGAGCTTCAAAATAAATGAAAGGGTTTTTTGGGATGAGTTGTGTAACATTCTCGCAGAGCTTTAATGTGGTGGCTGTCGTGCATCTTCCCCAGCTGGTCCTGAAAATCTGTAAGGTTTGTGGATCGCTGGTTAAGATCTAAACACGTTTCAGGAGACTTCCTCTCTCCTGCATTATTTTCCTCCTTCCATCATTTAGTCTCACTTTCAAAAGTGGCCGTCGAGGACAGTCAAGATCAGCACGCACACTCACTCCCCAAAGAGCCTGCCCTCGATTCAGCGTCCCCCCCCCCTCTCATGCCTCTGAGTCACGCGTAATAGTTTGTGAGCCAAAGTTCATGCCCTGTGACGCGACTGAATACCAAAAGCATCTCTTGACTGTTTGGAGGACAGGAAGGAGAGAGGTGTGTTTGTGATTAATCCGTGCATCATCAATATGTGTTGATGAATTATGAAGAAACACAACGTAGATTAATTAAGTGTTGAGACCATGTGTGTAAGAGAGATGCAGTGACATGAACACACACACACACAGGGAATGTTCGGCCGAGCTGTGCCAGCTGTGTGCCGCAGACAGTGAGGCGTCTGGGTAAAATATGAGCCTCTGTGTCCCCCATGCACATGCACACACACACACCTCTGTCAGTGTGTAAGTGAGACGTCAGGGTCAACAGGAGTGGATGATGACACTGTAGACATGGCGCAGAGGGTAAAGTGAATAGTGGGGAGAAACAGGCCATATTTCAGGTGTTAGTCAGAGTCTATATTGGTCAGACATGCAGGCAGGAAGGCGGGCGGGCGGGCGGGAGAATCACTGCATGAAGCCGCAGGGACTGGACTATTTTAACACACAGGACTTTGTTTACAGTACAAACACACAAGTCTGTTATCACCTCTGTTATTTGTGTTTGGGGATTATTGCGTTTCCATGTCAGTCAGTGTCACTCACTCTGTTTGTTGTCATGACGCTGCCAGCTCAAGACGTAAGCCCTTCAGAGTCAATTTCTGTGGACCGGTTTGTGATGGGCAGCCCGTTAAATAAATACAGAGAAAAAAACCGACCCTGCAGATCTGACCAATGAGGATGTGAAGTTGGATAGCATAGCACCAAACAGTAATGCAGTGATTCCCAAGTTGGGGCGCAGGACCCCAAGGTGGGGCGCCAGAGTTATTACAGGGGGGGGGGGGCCCGCAAAGGCTCAACAAAAAAACAATGCACACTGTTTTCACTGCTAGCAAAGCATGGTACATTTTGTGAGAGGACTTCCAGGTATGAGGCCGAGAATGACTCCACACCAGACGTCACAGATTCTGAAGTTTCATGTTACAATATCACTTTTAACTGCTTCCTATTTAAAAGTTTTTTCAGTTTGTTGTCACACTGAAGTTGCTGCTCTGTTCTTTTTGTGGGGAAATTGTGAAATAATAATAATAATAATAACTTTATTTATATAGCACCTTTTAAAAACACAGGTTTACAAAGTGCTTTGACAAACAGCAAGAACAAAGCAGAAATGTAGGAATTTATTTGCAAAGAGTGCAATGTATGTACAGTGGATGTAAAAAGTCTACACGCCCTTGTTAAAATGTCAGTTTTTGTGACGTATAAAAATGAGACCAAGAAAGATCATTTCAAAACTTTTTTCCACCTTTGTGTGACCTATTACCTGTGAAACAAAAGAACAAAATCTAGGGTGAACAACTATTCATGAAAACTAAAAATAGGGGGCTCCAGGAGAAGTAGTTTGGGAACCGCTGCGGTAAACTTTACATTTATAGATTGTTGTTGATTATTGATTGCTGTTTATCTTCAAACAGGGAAAAAATCAAACAGGCTGCATATTCAATAAACAGGCTGGTTAATCACATAAGGGTTACTATGGCAACACTTAACATAGATAGACAGACAAACATCCAGCAGCAGCAGCTTACAAGACTCATGACATGAAACATCTGTCTAATCAAACAACACCTACACCATTAAACTTCTACACAGATCAAGATTAGACGGATACCTACACAGAAGTTAAATTAAAACCCTGTGCACCAATTAAAATGATTGTTGTTGATTGTTACTGCGCAGGATACTTTGACATTTAGAGTCAAACTTGTCTTTGATGCAGCGATAATAAGGTGACTAAATATGTAACAATAAGACAGAGTGGTAAATAAAGATGTACAGAAGCTTTACAGTACTCGTCTGTTTGTGTGTTTCCTGCCACCATAACTGTTTCAATCAGACAATCCTCTGAATCTCAGACAGTCTGAAGTCTCTCGGTGTCAGCTTAGACTCAGAAATGATGGGCTGTTTCAACTTTGAATTCATTCTGCAGTTGGAATCCAAAAATAGCACATGTGCTCTGTGAAAGCACTTTTTCCTCAATCCCTTGACCCAAGGGACAGAAGAGCTAAAAAAAAAAAAAACTTTTCAGCTGCTGTAAAAAAAAAATCCTCAAAATAATCAGGAAGAAATCCCTGAGTCATGGCAGCGGAAAATACAGAACACCATGACGAGTTCTGATAGACTTCTGGGCGTGTGGACTCTGTAGGGTACGTTACCACAGGGATGCTGGAAGTCAGTCATAGTCGGGGTTGTTAAGAGAAGTCGATGTTTTACTTTTTGCTGCTACAAATTCATATAAAGAAGTTTGAATGTTCATGATATATATATATTTTTTTTTTCAAGATTTATTTTGGGTCTTTTTATGCCTTTATGTAGAGATAGGACAGTGGATAGAGTCAGAAATCAAGGAGAGAGAGAGAAGGGAGTAACATGCAGGAAAGGAGCCACAGGTCGGATTTGAACCTGGGGCGCCCGCTTGGAGCACTACAGCCTCCGTACATGGGGCTTGTGAACTAACCACTAACCCCCCCCCCCCTCTGCAGGATATATTCAACTAAACCACAGTAACCGGACAAAAACTATCACAAGTATCGTTGTACTACAGCTACATTTTAACAAGCTGATGGTTTGAAGTGTGCCTGGCTTCAGGGGGTTCGGCAGCCTCCTCCGCATCCCTACTTCCTGCGTCTATTTATTTTAAAATATGAGGTTTGGCTAATACTTCTGTTTAAGCTGATGATCGATAAAAAGATTCATGGGAAACATTTGAAGATCAGTAAAACCGTTGCTTGCTTGTTGTCGACTCTCCCCAGGTGATTTATTCTCTGAACATGAAGAATGAGGAGCAGGAGGCGGCCCTGCAGGCCTTGAGCCACGCCCACCACGAGGAGCTGCACCGCATCCTGGTGGAGACTTGCCACGAGGGGGAGGGGTCAGCGCTGAGGACACGCCTCCTGGAGCTGCAGGAGTCTCTTGATGAGCAGCAGAGAGTCGGAGCCCAGGTGTGTGTGTGTGTGTGTGTGTGTGTGCACCCTTAACCTCCTTGATCATGAGATTACCTGACCTTACTCAAGGACGAGTTGTGCTGCTGGTGCTTAGCGTGTAAACTCCCATGAGGAGCAGCAAATCGAACACGCCCCTCATGTGACCCACAACAGTCGACCTCGTTCAGAGAGCCTCTGACTCCACCCTGTCCACGACTTCATGCCTCATTTACATTCTGCACACCACAATGAGGCGTCACCATGGATCATAGATACCCGTTAGATGTACCTTAGAAGTAGAAAGCATCTTAACAACTAAAGATATGAAACCTTAATCTTATGAGTCAAATGTGTCATCTTTGTTTACTGTTTTAGCTGTTCCCCTTTTTTTTCTGCTAATTCAACAAATCGACATCCGAGTCCAAACACCAACACACATACACATCCCTACATGTGAGCTAATTACTTCTGCACAAAGGCTCATTTTTTGTTTTTGCGAGACAGAGTGTAAACACGCAAGTGTGGTTTTCTGTTTTTTGGTGACCAGAGGCATAAACACAACCCATGTGCAGAAAGAAAGTAGGTTACAGCAAAAACAATACTCAGTTAATAGTAGGGGGAATAAATTATACAAATTGGAGTAGGCCAGAGACATAATGCCACTGATGTACTGATGTAATAAGAATGCAGAAAGCATAGACATTGAGCTATCTTTAATAGATATACCTATTCAGTCAGTGTTGGGCTGTCCTGACAGATTTAACAAAGTGATCCAGCTACAAAATCACTGTGTAAGCTTCTCTTTGAAAATATGGTCAGAAGTAGTTAAGAGATTTCAGCTTCGCAGGGAGGTCGGTCTATTAAGCTGGCCGGCATTCCATCTACACTTCCTCCCGACATTACAGGACCATAAGTACAAACAATGGACTAAACGAGGCATCACCTCCTTCTGTAGAATAATTCAAAAAGGAACCTAAAGAATTTTGAGGATCTGCGTCAGTCTTATGAGTTGAGTTAAGAGGATTTTTACAGATACCTACAGATTCGTCACTTTTTTCTGAAGGAAATAAAGATCCCAGATTTAGCTGAACCCACTATAATAACACAAATATTTATTGATGCTTATGATTCAAATAGTACCAAAGGCATAACTGGCAAATTCTATAAAGGTTTTACCTTAATGAACAAAGATAACAGGTTATGTTAGACAGCGCTGGGAAAAAGAGGCCAATGTATAAATATCACAAGAAGCATGGCTTCAGATTTGGAAAAATCAATCCACTTCAACAAATTCTTTTTTTTGGCGAGACTTCTGCTGGAAAAATCTGATACGATTTTTTATTACCCCAAATCAGAAGTCAAAATGTAGTGGTTCCCCAGCCTCTTGCTGGAGGGAGTGTGGAGTGGTCTCGGCAGACTGTGTACATGTTTTTTGGTCTTGTCCACGTCTTGAGCCCTTCTGGAAAGATGTGAATCTATTAATCGCAGAGACTCTGAACAATACATTGGATTTCTCTTTCACATCCCTCTACCTCGGGAAAATTCCAGAAGGTCTTGGTAAAAAGGACATATACCTTTTAAAGATTCTTATGGTGGCAAGTAAAAAAGCGATTACTAAATGTTTGCTTCAGAGGAACCCTCCTACCATGAGACTCATGAGGAACATTCCATCAGCTTTATGGAAAAATTGACTTTTGTCCTGCGACTTCAAAAGGAGAAGGGAGAAGAATATTGGAGAAAATGGGATTTATTCAAAGATAAAGACTTGTAAATATATCTTGTTTCATTAGAATGTACCAAAAATTATGTACTGTACCTGTGCCTTTTACAGTCTTGTCTTTGATCTTATTCATACTGTCTTGCCCAAGTCCTCACTTGTTCTGTGTTTCTTGTAAAACAAAAATGAAAAATAAAGTATAAAAAGAATGCAGAAAGCATGTGGAAAATAGATAGTGGAGTTATGTAGCGCAGTCCAAAGATCAACAAAACTTCACAGCTTTCCCAGAGTTCAAATTACTGTATTTATAACATGCATGACTATGGGCTGCATGACTGATGATCAGTGAGGAGGTTCCTGGTTTGAATCCCTGTAGGACAGGAGCCTCTCTGTGGGGAGTTTGCATGTTCTCCCCGTGCATGTGTGGGTTCTCTCCGGGTACTCCGGCTTCCTCCCACAGTCCAAACACATGCTCGTTAGGTTAATTAGTGACTCTTAAATTGCCCGTAGGTGTGAATGTGAGTATGGCTGTTTGTCTGTGATTGACAGGTGAACAGTCCAGGGTGTAACCCCGCCTCCTGCCTAATGACAGCTGGGATCAGCTCCAGCCTTTCGTGACCTCAAACTAGAAAAAGCGATATAGATAATGGATGGATAAATGACTGCAGGCGAACAGCAAATGTTTGTGCTAAACACAAAATAATAATCTCAGAGTCGTCCAAATAAAATAGTTTGAGTCAGTTGACTTTTTTTTAAGATAGCGAGTCTGCAACAGCAACGTATCAACGCTCCACTGTCATTACACTGAATCTGATTTGTTGGGCTTCAAAACTCAACTTCGTAAAAGCAGGGTGAGACTACGCCCATGTTTAGCTTCAGTCTGTGGTGATGACTGAGACATGAAGAACAGTGGATGTTAAAGTAGCTTCTCTCCTTCAATGAGATGTCCAAGATATTAGTAAGACTTTACTTTTCGTTTTATGACACTTTGCTGCTTTTCATAACTTTCTTGAGAATCCTGATTACTTCACTTTTAATGTCTCCAAACATCCTGATGTAACGAAAGCAGACTGGTGACATTTTTGACACATATGAGCTCTGAATGAAAGAGAAAACTTTGCAGATTATCACGTTTATGGTCACAGTTTTTTCTCTCCTCTGTCTGTAATGGCCTGCAGTGTTTCTTTGAGCACAGTGTGTAACACCATACGCTCTGTACCTCCAGGTGCAGGCGGACTTCGAGTGCTTCCGTATACACATGGGGGAGAGGGAACGTGAAACCGAGGCGGAGCTGAGGAAGGAGTTCGAGGAGAGGCTCCAGTTTGCGGAGGAGGAGCTGCAGGAGGTCAAGGCCCAGATGAGCGACGCCCAAGAGGAGAGCGACCGTCTGAGCAAGGAGCTGGAGAAGGCCGAGGAGCAGATCCAGGAGCTGGAGGCCAAGTGTGAGGAGCTGCAGGAAACAGCCGACGTGGGGAGACGGAGCGAAGGCGAGGAGACACAGAAAGAGGAGAAGGAGGCGGACTTGAAAAGAGTGAAGGCCCTCTTGGAGGAGGTGAGGGAGCTGAAGGAGGAGAGGGACCGAGCCGAGGCGGAGAGGTGGCGAGCGCAGAAGGAGGAGCGGGAGCAGTGGGAGCGGAGGATGAGCGACCTGACCGAGGAGAGCGAGGAGACGAGGAGGAGGATGGAGGCGGAGTGGAGGGAGGAGCGGCGGAGGTGGGAGGAGAGGGAGGAGGAGGAGAAGAAGGGGATGCACAGCGCTCTGAGGGAGAGGGTGAAGAGGGCAGAGGCCGAGGCCGAGAGTCACCTGGAGAGGTTGGCAGAGAGCAAGAGGAACGCGGTCAAACTGCAGGAGCGGATACAGGTACAGAAACACACTCATTACCCATGATCCCTTTTCTCCGAAAAGCTGTGAAAAGGGGAGATGTGAGGAATGATGGGGAAAGAAAGGGAGAGAAAAAGAGAGGTGGGAATCTTGCTTGTCTTAACCACAGGCTGCCTCTCCATGAGTGCTATCCCCCACTGCCAGCTATCTGCTAATGAGCAGTTTGAGCAGGATAGATTTCGCTGCAGCACCACCATTACCACCTCATGGATGAGCATTAAGAAGCCCTGCGAGAGCTGGCACAGAGCTGACATAAGCCCTGGCAGTAAACCATTAAAGGCTCAAAGCTAGGCCAGGATAGCTCCCTGACTCACCAACATTTCATCCACTTTTCTTTTTTCCTCGTCTCTCTCTAACTCTGCGTTCTTTCCTTCCCTCCTGCTCGTCTGTGTCAAAATGTGTGTCAGCTCCTCTCTCTCTCCCCCTCACATTTATTTTCTCTATCTCGCTCTTTGTCAACCCACAACACTATCATCGACCTGCTCGCTCCAGGACCTGGAGGAGGAGCTGGAGCTGGACCGGAGGCGTGTCTCCGAGGCAGAGGGCGTGGCCAAGCGGGCGGAGGAGGAGCTCGGGGTGGCTAAGGAGAGGCTGCTGCTGCAGGAGGACGAGCTGCAGAGCAGAGCAGGTGATCATTAAAGTCCGCCCCGTCTCGACCCGTGTCGGCTTGGAGAAGCCTCCGCTGAGCTCGGCGCGTTTCCATTACTCATCGTGACTCAGAACAGCGTTAATGAAGTTATAGCCTCACGCCGTTATAATGCATACAGAAAATGCAACACAAGCACATTATTCATCCTCCAGGAGGGGGAACAGTTTCATCAAAGTGTCATAAAAACCCAGTCAGCAATAATGCCCCCAAATTTTATTTATTGCATGAGAAGGTTTTTTTTGTTTTGGGCGCTTCCACATTCAGCATTGTAGCTGTTCTGCTTCTGTTACGCACAATCAATCAATATGTTGCATGTGCTTATTTTTATGTGTGTGTGTGCGCTTTAACTTGGCTGTTTATTCGGTGTGTGTTCTCCCATGTGTGCACGCATCAGAGGAGCTGCAGAACCGCGGCGGCTGCGAGGTGTGCGTGTGTGCTGAGGTGGACGAGCTGAGGAGCCAGGTGAGCCGGCTGCAGAGCAAGAACAGAGAGCTGGAGCTGCAGAGCAGCGGCAGGAACAGTGACCACGCCCGGCAGATACGCCAGGTAAAAGACACACACACGCACACGCACACACAAACACACAGCATCCAAGAGAGGCTGAGTCCTTCTGAAGTAAAGAATGGAGGGAGTTCTCTGCTGGCAAATAGTCCAAAAATTAAAGGATCGTTTTGTTTTTTTAACAATGAACAAGTGTAGTTGGGCTTGTGGTCATTAAGAGCATGTTTTGTTTGTGTTCCCAGCATGCCGAGGCTCTGTCCAGTTTGCGCTCCGAGATGGTGAGAGCTCAGACAGAGGAGCTGCGTCGTATCCAAAAGCATGCAGACGATGAGAGGGACAAGCTGCAGAAGGATATAGAAGAGGAGAGAGAAACCCTGCAGAAGGAGAGAGAGCAAGAAAAGGACGAGTTTGACAGAGTGCAGAGGGAGAGAGAGGGGGAGAAGGAGGCGCTGCACAAGGAGGTGGAGGAATGAGAGAGCGTCTGAGGAGGGAAAAGGAGGAGGAGGTGGACCGGCTGCGGAAGGAGCTGGAGGTGGAGAGGGTCCGCGGCCGCTCGCAGTTGGACAAGAGCATTGAACAGGTGGAGCAGGAGAGGGCCAACGTGCAGCAGAAGCTGGAGGAGGAGAAGAAAAGGTTGGTGGAGAAGGCCGAGGAGGACAGGAAACGGCTGAAGGAGCAAGTGCGGAAGGCGATAGAGGAGGTGATGAGGAGGCATGCGGCTGAACTTCAAAACGTCCAGGAAGCTCTGAGCTCAGAGAAGAAGACCAACCAAGAGGTCAGAATCTGTGTGATGCGATGGGTTATTTACATGCAGCCAGTAACCACTACCAAATACTTAAAAACTCAGATCAGTGAAGGAACAGCTCACAAGTCTATATTTGGTAATTCATTGGAATTAGAGGACACCACATTAAGCGGATTCAAATAATATAAATCAGATCAGTCCAAGGTTGTACACGGTAACAATGAGTCCTCTTAGTTTGTCACTTGGGGTGGGACAAAATATTGTGACAGCCATATATTATCATCCTTATTCAAATTGCTGGTTCCAATTATAGATACTGTAATTTAAAAAAGATACGGCACATATTTCCCTGGAAATTGACTCACAATATCACTGCTTCATGAGTCATTACAGTGGCTCTTGTGATGCGAATGAGGATGAAGTACATGGACGTTAAAGGGCCAAAGACAAAGTTGAAAGTGGGACAAACAAGGGAGGGATAAATCCAGACATATAAATGAATCCTACACTTTATATAGATATCATGACGTCTTATTATACAATTGTCTTGCCTTTAAACCGAAGAATCGCTGTATCATGAAAACGTTTTCATGGGCTACCTACCGCATATCATGTTTTCCATCATATGATGAAGTGTTGTGTCGTATTTTACTGTATAGACAGTAACGTGACATTATCATATCGTATCTTATCCTATCCCATAGGCTGTATCAAATCATAACGTATTGTATCCCATCTGAATTCACCCCTATTAGTTAAGCCGTTCCCCAGGGTTCAAAGCCCGGACCACTGTTGTTCGCCTTGTGTATGCTTACTTTAGGTGTCATAGTGGAACAGTGCAATCTTGCTATGCAGATGATATTCAGTTATACTTATTAATTAAGCTAAAATCAAACCATCAGACCAGCACATTTTCTTCTATGTCAGTCGGACAATACTGAAGTTTTTGTAGCAATGAACTAATAGAGGCTTTTTAGCTTTTGTAACAGTACAGAGTGTCTTGGATACCTTGTTGTGTTTGCTCACTTTACTCTTCAGAGGACTTTTTCCACCCAAGCAATAAACACATCAAGCCTATTGTTTACATCTAAAATGTGTATTTTCTAATGATAAAGCTGAACTAAACGGCACCAGCCTGGCATCAAGCGCCCACATTAGGAATCAGTTGTGACATTTCCTCCTATTTCTGCGCCTCCATGACAGCAAACATCAGTCAATGCAGAGAATTAGTCCATGCATTTTTTTACTTCTTAAATTATTAATTGACTGACATGATAATTTGAACACATTTACAACATTGAGATGTTAACCTGCAAATATAAAACAAGGTTTATAGGAATGGTGTTCACCAAATGTACCAGTGATACACATAATCACATAACCATGTACACTTTTCAGTGCTTTATTTTTAAACTGAGGCAGCACATTGCTTTCTTTGTCAGAGCATTCGAGCAGACAGCGCCATAAAAGGACAGGTTCTGTTGTGAAAGAGGACACGGTTCTTCCACAATGTGCATTTATCCGAACTTTAAAAATAGCCCCGCTGTGCAGCTGTGTCAGCCAGCTCGTCATAAAACGCATAATTATTTCAGTTTTAGCTTCACTCAGACTTGGGACTTGATTATTTTGAATACGAGGACAAACCGCTTTGAGATATCATCTTCCCTTTCATCCTTTTCACACAGCTGTGACAGTAATACTTCCCCCTGCTCTCAGACTGTCGGATGCAGAGGCTCTCTTAAGAAAACACAGAACATGTCTCACCAGCTGAGATCAAGCAGTCTTAAACACCTTTTCTTAATTCATGAACGCTGTTAAAGCTTGTTTTTTTATAATGTAACATTTAGGGAATCAATGTTATCAACCCTCAACAACCACAGCTGCACATGTTTCATCATGGCCCCTCTTAAATTTGAACGTTTTCAGAGAGCTGAAGAGGGAAAATTATACATTCAAAATGCAAAGACTTATTTGTGAAGCATACGGGCCTGTGTACACTCACAGTATTTTAGATGTGTTAAAAAACAAAGAAGAGGACCCAAGTGCAGATATTGAACAGAAAAGGGCAAATGTGTATTTATTTTGGGCTTTTTACGCTCCTTTTGAGAGACTTAACAATAGATAGAGTCGGAAATCAGAGAGAGAGACAGAGGGGAACAACATGAGGCAAAGGACCCACACTATCCGCTTTGAGGACCGCAGCTTTGTTGATGGCGACCAAAACTAACCACCGCCTATTTTCTACAGAACACCAATGCAGTTCAGCATTTTCAGCACAAAAACAGTTTTTTCTGTCTTTGAACTCACAGCGCTCTCATTTAAATATAGTTCAACCTCTTGAACCGACAGCTTGCTCATCATTGTCATTTCTCCCTCAACATCAAACCAAGAAAGGGGCCGGGCTTCTCATCTCAATTGTGTCAACAACGATTAGGGAGGAGAAACTAATCCTTAACAGTTTATCACATGCACACGGACTCGTTTTTTTTTTTCCAGGTTGAAAATGTTTAAGATCTAGAGCTGCTGCTTATGTCAAAACATGATTCCTTTGTTTGTTTTTACATTTTTGACAACTTTTGTAACCTAGCAACATTAAGCACCAATGTGAAACACTCTTAACTTGAGGTGTTGGGAGCTGCCAGTGCAAAAAAACGCTTTGAGTATACACACGCCTTAAAGGTTTTTTGTTAGATCTGCTATCCTCTCTTGGTTCTTTGAGAAGGCTCATCCCACCAGTCGAGAGTCACTGATCTGAATATTTATTATACCAGATTTTTGATGTTCCTGCCCTCTGAGCCTTCGTATAATACGCACCGCTTCATGACTAATTATCAAGTATGCCTAGTAATAAGGAAATTATAATAACGCTGGTTTTGAGTGCCTAAAAGAAGACAAGTCATTCATTTCTGAACAGTTTTGATAATAAGGATGCTTTTTCTTTAAGGTGTGTGCACATTTGGAGGTGGAAAGAAGAAGCACTGAGGAGCTCCGCAGTTTGCTGGAGAAGGAAAGAGAGGAGCTGAGGACAAAACTGAGGGACGCTAATAACGAGGTCAGAGGTCACATCACACTGGTTGAGTGTGTATTTTTAATCAGATAAATCTATCTACAATATGCTGATAACACCTTTTGATTAATATGCAAAGTGAAGGTGTCTGTGCTCTCAGATCTGCAGGCTGGAGTCAGTCATCCGAAAACAAGACAAGAAAGAGAAGGTGGCCCCCGACGCGCACCCTCGTGTGGGCCGCAGTGCTCCCGCCAGGAGGAGGAGCTCCACCAGACCCGGACTCGGCTGGCTCGCTTACAGGAGGAAGCGGACAAGCAGCGGGAGAGGCAGCAGCGGGACGTCGCGTCCCTGAGAGCCGACAAACACCGTCTGGAGGAGAAGGTCCTGGAGCAGAGCCGACTGAACGCCGAGAGGAGTCTTCTGGAGCAGGGTCAGCGGCACACCGAGGACCGGATCAGGTAGCAGAATACACACCGAGCTGCCAGAACTGCTAAGGCTGACATTAAAAAAAAGAAGTCTGAGCGCTGCCCTCCTGTTAGCAGATCACAGGGGAAGATCAAAGCTGAGAAGAAGAAAAAAACGCTCAATATGGCTCACAAGCACCGACAGCATCTTTCCCCCTCATTTTGATTTGAATGTGAAGTGAAGTAGAAAATCATGCCAAGACATTAGTGTGAGCAATTAAAAAGATACACGATGCTACAGATTATGCATTGAAAAGCGTCGTGCATCAGTGAAAAGTAAATCAATATCACGATCCAGTTAAACATTAGCTGTAATGTCTTTTTTTCAGAGACCAATTAGCCCGTCATGTCTCATCTAGTGATTCTATATCGAGCAGGGTAATCTAAATTAAATGCTGACATCAACTAGACTCACTGAAAACAGCTGTTAACTATTATTTTAAGGGGGTTTAGATGCTCTCGATGCAAGTTTAAATCAAATCTTCAGTGTGTCTCCTTCAACATGAATTATCGTCCCTGATTTCACGAGGTGCCAGTGATGACCAAGCGACAACCTTTAGAGTTGAAAAATGAAGGCAATGCAGAAGTGCAAAACAAATGCAGTTCCTTAAGTGTCCACTTGAGGCAGGGTGAAAAAAGTCAAAGAATCTTGTATCAGGTGCTATATAAAAAGCAGAATTAAACATGTTTTCTGCCTGGTTCAAAACGAATTTGGTATAAAAAACTCATTTGTTTTATTAGGTCTGTTTTGATTTGATCAAGCCTGTGAGTTATTTGTAA